TTTTCAGATAAGAGAGAGAGAGAGAGATATGCTTTATTGTCGTAAAAAAATTTACAAAAATTTTATAGACAAAGCGTGTAACTTAAATACTAAACATATTATAAAAATAACTAAACAGCAGAAAAAACAAACAGAAACAAACAGACAAAATTGGAATAACAATTGCAATGGATATGCAATATCCGTCATTATAATTATTCTAATTTAATTTTTAAATTTAAACTTTAATATTTAATTATTTAATTAATGCCATTGTATGTGGAACTCAAATGTCTAAGGTACGTTATAAAATTCTGCTACTGTGTAATATGGTCTTTCTAGAAGAAAAGCTTTATCCAGTCTTCGGAACTTATCGTATGTATTTATAGATTTTAATTGCATCGGAAGGTTATTATACAATTTTTTGGCATTGTAGGTAATGGAATGTTTTAATAGGTCAGAAGTGGGCATTGTTAAATAAACATCAGTCTCTAAATTTCTTGTAGGATATCTACGAGTCGGTCTTTCGGATAAATTTTGAATGTGCTTGCGAACTAAGCAGACGGATTCGAAAATAAATAGAGCAGGAAGGGTTAGAATTTTGAAATTTTTGAAGTAATTTTCGCAATGTGTCCTACTACTTAAACCAAATACATAGCGGATTGCTCTTTTTTGCAGTTTAAAAATAGATTCGAAAAGGTATAAGCTACAAGAACCCCAGAAAGGTAAACCATAGCGAAGGTGAGATTCGAATAAGGAAAAGTAGGTTATTAATGCAGTAGAAGGAGTCAGCTCTTTAGAAACCGATTTAATGGCAAAACATGCGGAGGATAATTTTTTTGCTAAGGTATCTATATGAGCAGACCATTTTAGAGAATCGTCTATATAAAGACCTAAAAACTTGATTGAAGTCACCGTTTGGATCAGATTATTGTTTAAAGTTATAGGTTGTAAAGTACCTCTGTAAGACAATGCTACAGTTTTACTGGTGTTGAAACAAAGTCCATTCGAATCAGACCAGGACTTAATAGTCACTAGATCTTCACTTATGATAGATTGTAATGTCTGCATGTTAGAATTATTCCAGGTTACACTGGTGTCATCAGCAAATAAAGTAATTCTACCACTTATTCTTAAGTCTGTGATGTCGTTGATGAATAATAAAAACAAAATTGGACCTAATACTGATCCTTGAGGTACTCCACTGCTTATTGCTAGATTTGTAGAATCCTCACCATTCGCCCGCACCTGTTGATTTCTATTTTCTAGGTAAGTTTTAAACCATTGTAAAGGAGAACCCCGTATGCCATAAATTTGTAACTTGTTAATTAAAATATAATTAAAAAGCGAGTATATCATCTGTATTTGGAAGGAAAATATGTTTTATCAGTTAATGAATAGTCCTTTAATCCAATACCTATATTACATTTATCCTCAGGCAAAAAACATTTATAAAATATAATTTTAGTGTTAATAAAATGTAATATCCTAGTCTTTACTTCACATTTAAATATATTGATATTTTAAAGATTTGAAATTGTATACCTATTTGCTCCAAGTAAGTATCCGTTAAATATGTATTATTAGGTCTTTTCCTTTGCATCGAAAGTGTAGGACCGAGCTACACCACTTCTGAAAATATCGTTCCATTTATACAAATTGTATGGATGGAACAATATTTTCAGAAGTAACGTATCTCAGTGCTACACTTTCGATGCAAAGGCAAAGACCTATTATTTGTATTTATTTTGTTCTAATAATTTATTATTTTTTGATATATTTATATTATATTTATTTAATAATAATATGCAGAACCAACGCTCCAAATTAGACCCAAATTTGGCATATCGAACTAAATTATTTTGTAAAATAAAAGTTTCTACTAAAAATTATAATTTGAATTTACCGCCATCTGTCAATTGTCATTTTAGTTCCTGCTCCAAACAGTAGGTGGTGTTAATTTGGTTTAAAAGTCTAACATTGGCGTGGAGTAACTAGAAGATACGTGCTTTGTGGTTTCGTACAAGGCGATTGGCCAGAAGAGCTTTCCGCGCGGCTTTGATTCATCCGGCATATTTTCAGAATATCATCAAATAATAAGTGAAACAGCATATCTTTTACTGTTTAATTATTTTAATTAGGTGCCATGTTTTAACTTTGATATAAAATTAATAAAATACAGACTGGCATGGTTGAAGTAAATTCATAGAAATAATATAGAAGACCAATATAAATATAACATCCAAGCAGAAATTGAAACCTACTGTGCATAAAAACGCGTCTCTGCGCCTGACATCTCAAAATAGTGTGTCTAGAAGCTTGCGCAGTATGCATGACTTGTCCCTGCAGTGTTGCCAAGTATATTAAACATACCTAACACAAAAGAATTTTAAATTAATTTATTTTTAAATTACATGATTTAATCAGTTTATATCTACGAAATATCGCCCCAAAATAATTTATAAACATTTAAATAATCAACTATAATAGTAGTAATATTTATGTGTAATTACATTCCCAAAAATATATACAAATACGGTATTAATGTACAACAAGCGATTCACCTACAAATTCAATATTGACCTGGCAACACCACTTTAATCCGGTGTTTCAAGGCTCTATGACGGTGCCGTTACAGGACCGTTTGTGATATTTTGGCTTCAATTTGTATTTTATTATTTAATTACACGACATTTTATTTTTAGTTTCGTGTAGTGTTAAGTTAAATCCTAGGTACAATAAAAGACATTTTTACATTGGCTAATGAAAATGTAATCAATGTATTTAGCAGCTGTTATATTTATTACAAGATTTATGTCTAGAAATTCAAACCTACCTAAGAATTATAATTATGTAAATAGAGAGCTGTATATTTATATACAGGCTGTTCAGCGACGGGGAGACGTTATCGGTATCTGACAAAATAATGAATGATTTTTTGTTAAAAATAGTAAACAGGCTATGATCTTTCCATCTAAAATATTTTGACAGTTCTGTTATTTCTTTTTTATTTTAAATGAGATGCCACTTCTATTATTACTGATAGCGATGGAACATGAAATGTTGCTTATTTGGAATATATACCTTTACACAACGCTCATGACGTCAGAGACAGTTTCAGTCGGGTATAATTTAAAATAAAGAATTTTAAAACGAATCGTATTAATTTGTACCTGTACCTAACATTTATGGCATCACTAGCCGAGTTGGCATCGGGTATATTTTCAAATGTAGAAACTGAAAATCAACCCTATTAAATTGTATACTTTTAAATGCGGGTTTCAAGGCATTTTAAAATATAAACTCGATCTCAACGAACTTAGAAACTTCTGTCACTCGATATTTTAATCGTTACTTCCTCGCTTTTTGGCCGGCACAACAATTATTTACATTTCTTCATTCTTTACCGCGTGCGAACCAGTACGGTTTAAAGAAATTTTAAAAAACCTACTTTAAAAATGAAGATGTTAATGATTTTCTCATGGATACCATCTTCAGATCCTGACTTAATTTATGTAGTATTATTCATTTTCTAACAAAAAGAGAATCATAAAAACCGGGCAACGTGGTAAAGAATTATCGCTCAACATACATAAAAAAATATTTCAACGAATTGAGAATATCCTCCCATTTTAAAGTATGTTAAGTAGGGTGATAATATATATTATGAAGAATATAAAATGATAGATAAAGCCAGTGTAGAAAGTATTATAAATAAACTGTGGAAATATCGACAATCTCGATTTTGAATTGGAAGAAGAGTATTCTATGCAATTTAGAATGAAAAATGATCAAAATGAAACAAATGAACGACATGCTAATGTTATTGACAACTTTCTTCAAACATTTTCTAGTTTTCCGAAAACTAACTGGATAGTTCGAAAATCATTTCCGCCGTTAAAGCGCCTCTTGTTCCGAAAAAGATACACGCCTGTCAACATTCATCGTTCAACAAAAAAAGTATTAGATACAAAACGCTTCGTATTGTAAGGCCAAAATATATTTGGAAATCAAAAAAGTCATATAAACAAAAAAATCATTATAGTGAGATAACTACCAAATTAATGATTTACAAGTTTATTCTTATTATCTATAAAATAGGTTTGCAATGTGCTGATGTGGAATGTTATCATCGACTAAAAACTTTAAATCTTTGTATTAAATTGATCGAAAACAATCCATAAATTGGTTTAGACTATACAGAATGTTTCTAATAAGCAGCGACTAACTTTTATTATGAAAACGAAAGACCCTTTTAAAAGGGTTTAAAATTAAAATAAAATATGTACCAAGTACCAAGTAAATGTAGTAGTATTTTTTAATTTTGAATCTTGAGAGATGCAGACATATTGGGATACTTTATATTGAAAATGGTAACATGAAAGGTTTTTTGTCTAATTGTAAGTAACGACTCACAGTCTTGGCTGACAAAATATAAAAAAATATCGAACATAATATTCCTGGGCGAAACGCACCTGCCCCCTATTTTGCACTACTCAAATTAAATTTACTTGTAGCAAATGATACTAAATCAAATAAGATCTCGTGACTGCAGCACTAATGATTTCTGTAAATTAACCAATTCATTTTTCATGCCATATTTTTCTTTCAAAAACATATTTATCCTACTTGAATTTTTTTCATCGTTTTTTATATAGAAGCATCTCTAAAAATGTATGAATAAAACATGGTTTGAACTATTTGTTCGATCAATAAAAAACTTGCACCGGTCCTGTTCGAGCCAGCACCGTTATACGCATGAGCTCCGACACACTATTTTCTCCTTAGGGTTTCAGTTTTGATATATGGAATCGGCTTTCTATACTATTTCTATGAGTAAATTTGATTTACTATAAGTTTGTAAATATGTTTAGGGAGTGTTATAAAAAACAAGTTCTTTGGTATGGAATTACACTATTATATGATGTTGCCATTCTTTATTTTACCTCAAATAAAAACCCAGCACTCTACCTTTCAACAGTTCACTACAGTCGAGGAATTATGTCAAAAATGTTAATCACCTGTAGAACTAATAAATAAAACTGGTGTTGGTAATTTGATAAATTGAGGAGAACGGTTATATTATGATCATCTCCTTCTGTACGAATTTAATAAATAGGCATTACAAGTGGACTTAAATTTGAGATTAGATTATTCCGAGTAAACAGAAAAGTTCTAAAAAATTGTAAATCATCCAAACTGGGAGATAAGTTAAAAATATTAGATATTTCACAGAATTCAATAATAAAGAAACTCTTCAAAAATTATAATACATCAAATGTGTGTAAACTACTTATAATTTTCACAATAATTTAGATATTTGTTGGAAACACTCAAACAAGCCGATTTTTATTCCAAGAATAATAATAATGATAATACTTTCCATATAAACCACCCCTTTACGAGTAAACCCCTGCAGCTGTGAAAGAAGCACCTGAGAAATTCATCAATCTCTTCATGCTTTATCTAGGTATTTTAAGCGATAATTCTCTTCCACGTTACCCGATTTCTATGATTCTTTTTTTGTTAGAAAGGGGATACCTGCATATACAATTGGTCAGGGTTTGATGATTTATAATAAAATCAAAAACCTCAATTTTTAAATGTGTCTGCTCGATTTTGAAGTCGTTTATTTTTTTTTTAAACTTTTATAGCTATACTGTTCTTCTGGCGTCATTGTAAAAACTATACAGGGTGTTATTGAAATACACGTACATATTAAAACTGGGTATTGCGCAGATCCCCACTGAATGTAGAAAAATATTATTTTTTAAAAATACCCCTTATTAAGGGAGTTATTAATTTTTGAAAATTAATTCTAAAACAAACGTACTTCACTGATATGTTGAGGATGACCTATATAAATTAGGTTTATTTACCTATTTTAAACATCAACAGTAATTAATATGCAAGTTTTTGTCAGATGATAAGAAAACTAGTCTTGTAAGAAATAACCATGTTGCCAAGATTTTCGAATTAATTTCTATTTCCGAAGACTGGTTTTTACTACCCTCGTTATTAAAAAACTAGAATATTTGATAAATGATTGTTTTTAAACTATACATTTTTGAAACTATAGATTATTAAAATTTTAGTTGATTTACGAATCTGGCTAACACGAGCGCGTCATTTCCAAGTTGGTAAAAAGTGTTGTTACGATTACTTTTAAATATTTTTTTACGATGCCACTATTTACGAATATTGAACTAACGGATATAGTGCTGGTTTATGGGGCAGCTGGAGAAAATTCTCGGCAAGCACAAATCCTGTATCGCGAACGGTTTCCAAATCGGAAAATTCCGGACTGTCGTACGTTTATTTCAACTGTTCAGCATCTAAGAGACCATGGAAAATTTGATAGTGTCAATGCAGATCGAGGGAGAACAAGAACACAAAGAACATTGGCGGCCGAAGAAGAAATATTGGAAGCTGTTGAAAACCGGCCTCAATTAAGTTGTAGAAGACTAGGTCTTGAAATTGGAGTGTCCTCATTTGTTGTGTGGCGGACACTTAAAGAACAAGGTTTACATCCTTATCACATCCAAAAAGTCCAGGACTTATATCCAGGTGATGAAGAAAAGAGAGTGGAGTTTTGTGAATGGATGATTCAAAAATGTGTTGATATTCCTGATTTTCTAAAAATATTATTGTATACTGACGAGGCTTCATTCACTCGTGATGGCGTGTTCAATATGCACAATACGCATATTTGGAGTGATGAAAATCCTCACGCCATTAGGGAAACTGGGCATCAAAGAAAATTTTCAATAAATGTTTGGGCTGGCATAATAGATCAGTATTTAATCGGGCCTTATGTTCTCCCGAACAGATTAAATGGGCCAGGATATCTCCACTTTTTAGAAGATATTTTGCCAGTACTCCTAGAAGAGATACCGTTACAATTAAGGCAACGGATGTGGTACCTACTAGATGGCGCTCCTCCTCACTTTGATTTAAACGTACGGCAGTTTTTGAACATTAGATTTCCTCAAAAGTGGATAGGCAGAAATGGACCTACTAAGTGGCCTCCGAGATCTCCGGACTTAAATCCATGCGATTTCTTTTTGGGGTCACATGAAATTACTGGTTTATAATGAACCTATTAATAGTGTTGAACAATTAACCAATAAAGTTAATGCGGTAGCCAAGGAACTACGACAAAATCCAAGACTAATTTCTAATGTTCAAAGTTCTTTGGAAAGACGATTGCAAGTGTGTGTAAATAATAATGGACGGCATTTTGAACAATTACTGTAATAAACTTTATTTTGAATTAATTGGTTTTGCTACGGCAACAGTGCAATTTCTATGGGTAAGTTCAATTTCGATTTATTTTACTTCTTTAAATATGGAAACTAGTAGGTCGGAAAAGGGGACTCTTCCCCAATATTTAAATTTTAGAATTTGAAGTTAAAATTGGTGCCAATCGTTTTTGGTCATTACATACTATTCCCCATTTTAATATGTACGTGTATTTCAATAACACCCTGTATATAATCTATATTATTACAAAGAGAACGATGAGTATGTACCTAATGTTGAATATTCTTCTAAAAATATAGTGATTTATAAAAATTACAAATGTTAATTATGTTTAAAAAATGTCAAAAATAGAAATCGCACGAAAGTGTCATCATCATATTTCATCGAATTATTTACTTCATATTAAAAGAAATAAATCTTATCATTATATTTAATCTAAGTGTAAGCCTAATCAATTTGTTTTAAGTGTGAAACTAAATTTGATATAAAGGTATATAAACGACATCAATTTGTTAGATGTTATAGCATAAACTTTTGAAGTTACAATATCATCATGAGTCGTTTAATATTTATTGCTGCTCTTGCTGCGTTTATCTCCCTTAATTTTGTTTACGGTAAATCCGTCGCTAATAAGGGACCTTCCTTCGAAATTAAGGATGGAAATTGCACCAATGCAGTCTTAGGCGATGTAGTACATAAAGATCATGTACATAGATATCCAGTTCCGTTTGTTAAAAGGGATGACAAAGTAAGTACCGTTAATTATAATTAATTTTATACTTGTTCCTTAATTTTTTTCATGCATAATTTTAAAACGAAAATACGGAGTGAAACGATGTTTTAGAATTAAAAATAAATTGGTGCTTATTTACAATAGATATTTTAGTAATTATTATTATACTGATAATTATTAAGTACCTACTGTAATATTTAAAGTAGTGCAAGGTATATAATTTCTACTAGATAGTTGACAAATAAAAAGTACATAAATATGGCCCGTGCCTTAGATAAAAAAACAACAGGTACCCTATTCTCGAACTTATGGAGTGTTCGTACCACATACAGTTCATCAAATTTCTAGAGGTGTTCGACGCCCAGACAGAGAACGCGCTACGTGTGACTAAGATAGCTATTGTACAGTCTGCTAAACAAGTTATTTTAAATAGTTTTTAATATTTTTAGGTAATTAAATTTTAAAAGTGTGGAATAGTTTAGGGATTAAATTGGTCTGATTGGACTTTCTTAGAACGTTTTTAAAAGCAGCTAAAGATAGTATGTAGAATTGAAAATAATTATTATGCCATAAAAGGTGTTTTGGAATTCCTTCAACCTTTTGAAATTGAGTCAGAAAATATAAATTTTATAGGATAGCGGAAAATACCTATAATTTTTTTGTAGGCCTTTGTAAATCGTGGAAATAGTTTATATTTTATTTCTACCTTATTAAGGAAAATGGTACCTATTATTAATAACGGTTGTTTCTGAAACATTACTAAAATTTTCGAAATTTTGTTTTTCTACAAAATAATAAACTATACTATTTAGAAAAAAATTTATTTCTCTTATAATTTTATAAAAAATAACAGGGGAATATTTACATTTCTTGATCTATTAAACAAAACGATAAATTATCTCGACGAATGACACCATGTTCTAGTACGGAAACTAGCTTTACATTTTTGTTGGTGGTTTCATGGGTTTCATATCAATTTTTTGTAATTGTAGTTTACACGTACATATACCTCTTAACACTTGTTTGCTTTATTAAAAAAGTGTGTTGTTGTGATTTACGTCGAAATAAGTCAAACAACTTGAAACCCCATATAAAATCAAAAAGGAGAAACGGAAAAAAATTGAGCCTGTAAATGAATACAACTCAGAAACAAAAATAGCTATCTAATATTAAAAAAATAAAATTTGATTCTTGTGCAGCTTCATCTATATATCATTAACTGTTTTTGGTTTTTTAATGGTTTTTCTTGGTGATGAAAATTCCGATATCTCACGGTTATCGATTCTTTTTTTCTCTCTAGAAATGCGGACGACAGTGTTTTTAGATACTCCTGTGGCTGCAGCAACACGATCATTTACATTTTTAAATGGTATTGAAGGTGAATTAAAGTTTCCTTCTCTTCTCATAAACTCTATAACATTGGCTATTATTTCGCGAGATTGACTGTTAATCACGCGGCTTCTTAATTTGCTATTAAACTCCATACTTAGGTTCTATTAAACTGTAATGAGCAAAAAACACAAACGAAAATAAAAGAAATGTTTTAGCGAAATTTACATCTGACATTTACGTCTGAATGAAATAGTGAAATACTTGATGCTCAGAGTGTACTTTCATTGCGTAAATCCGTCGGGATGCCTGTCAGTAGTGCTTTCTCTGTCTAGCCGTCGAAAGCCTCTAGAAATTTGATGAACTGTATATATAATTCGGCCCGTAAAATGCCTCCCATGCACGGCTAGCCAAATATTCACCATGTTCGGCTCGTAAGGATGCCTCCCATGTCTGTAAAGCCAAATATGGACTACATGCAATTTATACGTCTAAATTATGTCAAATGGTACGGTACTCCCGGCTCAGAAGAAACCCCGCCAACGGCAATCCGAGTACTCGGCTTCCCGTACATGCCGGTGTCAGGCCGAGTGAATGCCAACTATTTGTGTCTTACTGGGTCCGTTCCTACAAAACCACGGATAATCCGATGAGCTGTCAGTAAAACGTATTTTCCACATACTTTGTTTACTATACAATGTACCTATCTTATTGGTCGCAACGTTTTACTGGGCGTCTGCACGTTGAGTAGATTTTTGTTGTCCGTCGCGACTATGAAGACTTAGAGTCTTCATAGTCGCGACCTCTTGGTTGTGGTCGGTAGTATGCGCGCTCTTAGAAATTCTATACCTACATTTTTAAAGCGCGACTAAAACATCATCGTTACATATTTGTTTAAAACGTTTTTCAAGTGTTTACTCATTTAAAATTATTTATTTTAGTCTCACTGGGCAGGAGATAAGAAGATTTACTGCGTTTTAGCCCTAAGTCAGGAATCTGAATCTGAAGGGTCCACCGTTGAAATTAAAGAAGGAGGAGTCGGTCACACTTTTGTTACCTTGAAAATAAAATCTAAGAAAAGTCATGGCTACGAATATAACATTCAAGTATTTGCAAAATACGACAACTAAAATGCATTAAATATTGTTGTTCTTTATGAAATAAAATTTTATTAATACAAAGTTTACAGTCTTTAGGTACAATTTTAAATACATTTTTAAATATTCTCTGTAAAGTATTAATATAAAAATACATTACTAAAGATCTTTAAGTACTCTAAAAAGATATTCCAATTCGAGAACAGTATCTTCAGGTAAATCAGTGCAATGTACGGCATTCTTATATTTATCAACACCAAACATAGCTCTTAAAGTATTTGGCCGAATCTGCTTAGCAATGTCAGTGTCCATAGGTCCGGTAAATTTTCTAAATTCATCGTGTACATTTGTTTCGCTCATTTTACCCGCTATTTCTAACACCACGCAAGGTCCATTAAGATAACTCAACATGAAAGCATTGTAATCGCTCACAACACCTTTATAAACTTCTAAAAATTCGTCAGCATTGGCATTGGATAAATACACGATATGTGCACCCGTAATTTTAAAGTGGGAGTTAGTTATTGTGGTTATTATACGTCCTAGTTTGCCTTCTTGAATAGCGTGAGGTTTAATTAAACAACACGTAGTATTTTCAAACTGCGCTAATGGTTCCGGAGTGTCGTCTCTATTAGAAAAAAAGAATTCCAATTCTGTAACAGCGTCTTCAACAGTTAGTGAACCGTGAAAACCGTTAGTAGCTTCGCTGTCTTTACCGTATATTGCTCTTAAACTGTTGGGCGCAACTTTCTTTGCTTCTATAGGATGTGCTGGGCCCATTATATCCATCCATTTTTGTACAACGTTTTCACCTACCAATTCTAATACTATAATTGGTCCAGTTACTATAAATTCCAATATAGCTGGAAGGACTGGATTACCTTTCATATTTGCATGGAAATCTAATGCTTGCTTTCTGGTCAGTTCGCACCTTCTTAGTTTTGATATCATTATATTATGGTGTTCGATAATACTTATAATTTCACCAAATTTATCTATTATATTAGGTTTTAATATAGCACAAGTTTTCTCTCTGAATTTTCCAACATAGTTTTGGGTACGACAATCTAAATAATCGGTGATTTTTATTTGTCTGCCGTAAACTCTAATTGTGTTACCGACGAACATGTCTTCCATGGTTAATTCCTCCAATTTCGTGCGTTTTAAAAATACTCTTCCTACATCTTTATCGAACAGCTCTAAAGTATTGTCAGATGGATAATATTTAATAACGAATTTTTTTAAAAACGAAGCTTTGTAATCGAACCATTCGCCCACAAAATTCAGTCTATCAGTGTAATCGTAGATTTGTTTCGCCATTATCCTGAAATTAAAAAAATACTAAAAGCCTTTCAACCTGACAAGCGATACTCCCTCTGGGGGTACATTTTATAACATGTATGTAACATTGAAAAAGGATAAAGAGGAGAGATATGGCGATACTTAAGGTCTGTTCCAACAACGATCAGAAACTTACACCAGGATTCTGATGCTAAGTTCGGGATGTGGACTCCTTTTACTCTTTTAATTGAGTTACAATGATTTAGTATGGACTGAAGTTAGTTATGGAGTGAAAAGAGTAAAAGGAACCCACATTCTGAACTTAGCATGAACAGTAGATAATTTAACGGTCCTAATAACATACTGCGCAAAATCCTGGTGTTAGAACAGACCTATAAAGTGTCCGCTACTTTGTATTACACTTTTACGTCATGTGTCAAACTTGGGCTAATGAAACCTTAAACAAGCACTTGTAGTATCAATTGGTCGCCATTATTTTGGTGCTAAGCATTTTAGTTACGGTTAGATAGGTAACTGTCAAGCTTTGTTTGGTTGTATCAGTTCCCCTTCCATTACAGTTTTACTTGGATACTTTGACAATTGGTTCCAGTCATGCCATTGGCGATTTTCAATTTAAATGCCGGAATAATTCTTGGCGACCAATTGTGTTCCAGATCCATTAGAGGAAGATAAAAAACCATAGACAAGACGTGGCCAAACAGTGTCCGAATGCCATTTGGACTTAAGAATGATCCTGCACTCTTCCAGAGAGTTATGGAAATATAAAAAATAATAAACCTAAGGAAATACCTAATCATTTGAATAATGTTAATAATATAAATAAATACTTTACTAGTTTGCAAAATAAAGACCCAAAGGACGAGATAATAAATTTTTATGCCTCAAATAACTTTCAGTTTGAAACTATTACAAAAGAAATTATTTCTAATATAATATTAAACATTAAATCTAAAGCTTTCGGTACTGTATGATGATCTCAATATACAGTCTGTTCGCTATACTTACGCGGGTTTCGGATTAATAAAATTATTTTTTTTTTTTTTTATAATTTATTGGCCTACATAGCTAAGATGATACAGCCATTTGGTAACAACAGGTAAATAATTACAATATTTTACAGCTTAATTTTAGACATTTGTATAAATTTTGATATTTTTTTAACATTACCGAAAGACAGAAGTTTAAACAATACATCAAAAAGTGTAACAGGTTTTATAAAATTTTTTGGAATATCTAAACTATCTAAAAATGTATAAATATTATAAAAATTATTTTGACAATTAAAAAAAATATGTTGTAAATCCTCCAGTTTTCCACACGTACACCTATCATTTTCTTTTACACCTATTTTCTTTAGATGCACCATACTTAAACAATGACCGCTTCTTAATCTGCATACGGTACTTATATCCCTTCTATTCAAATTTTTTATTTTTGCAAACCACGGTCTCTTTAATGGAATTTGAATTACTTCTCCATATAGTTTCCCTTTAACTTGGCATATCACTTTATATTCCTCCTCCCATATGTAAATTAGTCATTGACAACCAGTTCCAATAAGCCTCTTACCAAGAAATTAGGTAAAATTGCCCTAATGGTCAGATTTAAATTAAAATAACATTACGGTAGGTACTAAATTTGTTACAAATATTGCAGTTGAATTGATTCTTTGCAAGTGTTGACATTGTATGTATATTGTAAATTTAGTGAAAATTTTAAAAACGCCTAGACGTATATTAGATGTAGATAGTCTAATTTGTAGTGTACATAAGTATTTTACGGATAAAAAAGAAAATGGCGGTCCTTTAAAATCGGTAATGTCTGTACAACAACGCGTATGCGATGCTCTAGGAATTAGTGAAACCAAATTAAGAGGAGTATTATAAAATCATAAAAGTAAACTGCCGAAAGATCACCGCAAAATTCGCCCATCATTGAAAACGAAAGATATTCCAGATGGAAAGAAATTTGAAATTCGTGATACCATTTATCGAATGAGGTCCAACAAAGAACATGTGACTTTAAATACAATTCTCTCGGAATTAATAGATAGAAAATTTGACGACATTGGCAGAACAAGTCTATGGCAAGTGATACATAACTTGGGTTTCAAATTTCAAAAGGAGGATAACAGAAAGGCCTTTTGTGAAAAAAGTTATGTCGTGCTCAAGAGAATTAACTTTCTAAGAAAATATTCTAAATTTAAAGAAGAAGGGGCGAATTTTATATATTTAGACGAAACATTGATATTTTCTAGGGGCGCAACCAAGAGAATATGGCAAGATGATAACGTAAAGTCCATCAAACATACTGATGGAGAAGGGAAGCGACACATAATTTTACATAATTTTTCATACTAATCAATTTAAAAACGGATGCAAGCAACCTTGCAATTGGTACTTTACTATCACTAGATTCCATAGATAATGACATTGAGACTGAAATTAAAGGCCAATGGTAAGATTTTAGAGTATTGTTCTGCAATTATCATTCACTATTATTAAATTGATTACAGCTTTGCCCACCCTACGTTTTAAAATGAGATTATAACATCCTAACTCTGGTCCCCGACCGTAAGGTAGCTGGATAACCGACGAGTCACCAAGTGCCTCTGCGGACGAGACCAAATGAAAGAAGAAGAGGCGCGATTCTTGGCGCGAAAACGAGACAATTGACATATATGGTTGTGATACTTTTGATTATTATTAGTTGTTTTTCCTGTCCACGATTATTAAAATTAAAATCTTTCTTTACAAAAAATCCCAAATATTTTTGTAGCCAACTCTACTACAAGATGAAATTGTTATATACGGGCTTTGCGGCCTGACGCCGACCCTGTTCAATATTTCTTGGTATGGGTTTTTATATAGACTTCGCGATAAAACTGTATAGACGAAGCTTTGTTTGAATTCGGTAATTGAATTAAAGAATAAATATGAGGAATATTACAGAATGTGTTTTATTTATTAAATACTGACAGAACATGAAGTGGTTTCTTACAAGCATTAAAAGCAATCAGACTTGAGAAAAATGTTGATACACTTATTGAATTCTATATTCCATTCCTTTTTTTGTATGGTGTATTCTCTCGTAGTAGTGAAACGTATTGTAATTTTATGTTAAAAAAGTCTTACCTTGAAGCCATTTCAACGAAAAAAACAAAAAATTATAAATGATACCAAAACATCGTGTTCACTACTTTTTTATATATTTACGTTACATTGGTTGTAATAAAAAACTGTATTAGGCAATACTGTTTGTTGATAGTTAATTGTAGCGTTATATTTTTAGAAATAGAGGTAGGTAAGTAAATAAATAGAACCCAGTTTGTTTGCATTTACACGCTCTTCGTTACCATTGCAACGAATTCAATATAAGGGTGGTTTAATAAGTTTTGAGACTAAAATAATATTTAGAAACAAGTATTATTTGTACAAACCTACCTATTGTGTATGCTTTTAAGTTGAAACACTTTAATCAGCGTTGCTTTAAAATCTTTAAGTGATCTCCTTTTGGTAAAAATCGACGAAAGCTTTATTTACAAGAATTTTACAGATTCAACTAAAGTAGATAACGTCAAATATACTTTTTTTGTGTGTTATCGGCATCAACTGCTACGTTATTAGCATTGGTGTTCTGTGTATACTTTGTTACTGTTTCCCAGCGCCACTAAATATACTCATTAAAAAAATATATTTTAGATCAAAGAAGCTGACGTAAAGTTTATTTTCTGATTTATTGTTGGTCTGTGGCATCACTAGAAAGAGGTAAAGTTTTTTCTTTTTTAGAAAAATTACCTCGAGGTGTAACATACTGTTTCAGCTTCTTAAGAAATCTAATATCCTGGAGTAGAATATTTTGATAGAGGTTTCAATAAATGTTCTAGAGAAATAATGTTTATTTTTACTTTCCTATCTGTATACAGATAAGGAAAATATAGGAATCATGATTTTTTTCAACGGATTTTTACGTTTTGAAGTCCCATGAATCCGTTTTGACTATTTTCGCGATGATGTCTATGTCTGTATCCTTGATAACTCATGAATAGATATAAAGAAAAACATAAAATTTTAAATATAAGCTTTTTTTAATTAGATTTTGGACAGAGGGATAATTTTCGGAGAAGAAAATTCTTTAATTAAAAGTTACTTCTAATATTATTCTTTATAATTTTTGTGCTATACAAAATTTTCCTAAAATGGTCCGTATTCGAGAAATTTGACAAAATGTAAAAAAATCAAATTTTTATGAAAATTGTTTAAATAAAAGTTGTTTGTGATATAATTCTTTATAATTATGGTCCCATACATAATTTCTTTAAAGGACCGTATTCTAAATATTTGAGAAAAAGTGTTAAATTCGAATTTTGAAGAAAATTTAAAAACTGAAAAAGAAAAAACATTAAATCTTAAATTTAAGGTCTATTCCGGCTTGAGGTGAAATGATTAAATTTTGGACAAATTGAGAACATCTGGGGGGGGGGGGGGGGGGGGGTTCTTTATAATGTTTGTTCTATACAAAATTTTTCTAAAATGATCCGTACCCAATTTATTTTACGGTTAAAAACGCTTTGTATTTTTAACAATCACCCACCCACTTTTAATTTTCAAGGCGGAGAAGACTGCCTTTCACTATTTAATCTGCACGTTAGTTTCAGAATCGTAATGGTGGATCCAGTAACAAATCTATCAAGAACACATACTTTGATTTTCTTTTACTATACGGAGAATGGTCGCACTGCGCAGCTTTCTGAGTGCCTTTTAAAAGGAGATAGAAAACTCCGCCATTTTGAACCCTTATTACGTGTTGCCTACATCTTGGTGCAATATTTTTAATAGGTGCGTTTTAATAACCCCCTTCTGCTTCGGAATTGTTTTATTATAGGCGGTTGTCATATATTGTATTATCCGAGTTGCACAGTGTATAAACTGGAACATTGAGATCCAAAGTGCCGACGTAGAGTGAGCGATCTGATTATTTAGCTGTAAACTGTGTCACAGGGTTCAAAATGGCCGCGCCCTATGTTGGGCATGTTGGACCTCTCTCTTGCCTCGTATAGTAATCAAAGTATGTGATCAAGAAAATATTGTTTGTTTACATAACCTATAATATGCTGTCAGTGTGTCAAAATGTCAAAAATTTAAATCGGATAGACTACTGTATATAAATCAGGGGTGGGGTAAGGGGATATTAAGTATTATTCCTTTATAAATAATAAATTGAAAGACCTTAGTTTGTTGTTTTGGATGAAATAAAACACTGAGTAAAAAATAACAAATATATTGAATACAAAATGCAATAAAAATCATTCTTTCGTAGCAATCAAAGCATGACATCGTGGTGATAATATATCATCTGTAACTTTTTGAACCATACACTGAAATCCTTTTTCTTTCAAATATTCAATCCTATCGAGCAAAATTATATTCTCGCACATGCTCTGTATCGCAGCTTGAAAACCCGTCAACACTTCGATCAAATAGCATTTATCTCTATATTCTCTCCACTTATCGCGCATTTTTTCTAAAAATATGTCATCGATATTTAATTCTATACTAGATTTGATGGTTATCAACCGATGATTATTTTGAAGATTCTTTAAATATATTTCAAAATCTTCATCAGGATTTTGTGAGATGGTAGTATTAGATTTTCTTTTGAGTCTTTTTACCTCACAGTTTTCTGAAAAAAATTAATAATAAAAACCGATGCTGTTATCTAAAATTAGTTTTTGAAAAATATTTTGCCCCTTTACTATATAACAGATTAAGAAGTCAATGTTGTGAGAAATAATAAGAATGTAGCCAAAATTCACCGAGAAATATGTTAAGGGCTCAATTAATAATAAGTGTACGCCTCTGCGCTTTATTCCCGAAGTAATCAACAAGATAAAATACGTGTCGATGAAGTAAGCTTGGTTTTTAGATTTAGAAAAGTGGTTGCTTTCAAACTTTCATAGTTATTTAATTTTTAAAATTGTATATGCAGTTTTTAAATATATTACAGTCCACTTTTATTTTACTCTCAGAGAGTGATTAACCCACATAAAGAAAATATACAACAGGGTCTGCTATGCGTACTGTTGAATCCTAATCATTTTAAATTTTTATTTTGTCATTTCGATAGGTATTTATTAAACAGCTTCATTAATGTCACTTGTAATTTGAGTTGCCTATTTGTAGATTCAAATCAAAGACATTTTGTGATGTGTTTGATTAAAATATATTTGCGCGTATTTTTGAGACCGACTCACGATTGTAGACTCGTACGATGAAAAGTCCTTTGAAAAGGTCAGTACGAAATAAACCGTTTATAAGACCGGTAAGCTTTAAATGTGTGCCTTAAACCGTTCTTATCAGTAAAATCAGAACAAAACCTGTGGTAGGAAAAAAGCCTGGATCATCCCTTGCATACCGAAATTAAAGAGAGCTCTCACGTCACCCCCCTAGAGGTAGTTTGGGTAAGTTAATTGGTCTCAAGCGTTTTTTCATAACCTTTTTATTCTTTTTTATTCATTTTTTAACTGATATTTAATAGAACAATTTTGAAAGACATACAGTCTTATTTTTCTCTGCCTACTGTTTAGGCTATCAACTGTTCCTACTTGCGGGAACGTACATTTTTGGTCCTTCGAGCCGGATTTGTGTTCTTTCAGATTGTTCTAGGAAGTTATATTATAAATGATTTTTTTGAAGCTGTTTAATGAGGTTTTAAAGAGGGAAAGATATGAAGGAAAAGTATTAAAATATGTCCAAAATTAAGACGTTCTCTTTCTATCCTGAAGAGTTTGGTATATCTTGTCCACACTGACTTCTCAATAATGCCTCCTTTCGATATAGTAACCCAGAAATACACAAAATACTTACGAGCCTCAGCAACATATTGTAGAATACATCTAAACATTAAATTTCGAGAATGCCTTTCGTGTTCTTTATCAGTCATAGTTACAAAATGTCCGATACTTTGTTGACAAGATAGTCGTAAGAATGGTCTTCTCAAAAATTTCTGCGCTCCAAACTCGTTATAAACATCATTTAAAGTCTTACTTATTGGAAAACTAAAAAATAATTCTTCCTTTTCAGTGGCGTTTTGCAGTTCAATTCTGTGATAACAACACGGCATAATTACCAAACTTTTTATAAAATCTAACTCGGAAAATACATCTAAAATAGTTATGCTCAAGTCTGCGCAAGCGTGAAGGCCAACAAGCGCGCTTGACGTAAGACCAATTGAGTTAAAATTATTTTTAACTAAAGTTGTGATAGTTTCAGATGATTCACTGTTAATATAATGTTCTTTGAACACAACTTCGTTTTTAGATTTTCCGTAGAATTTTTCTTGGTTTTTTAACGCTAAATCGATATATTGTTTTGAACACTCTATACCTAATACTTTGTAACCATACTTCGAGTTCAAATGGTGCGATAAATATCCCTAAAACATTTTTTTATAAGTAATTTGTATAGTTTTACTGATTTGTAAGATTTATGACTTACTAATCCAGATCCGATATCAATAATGATTTCAGACTTGCATACGTTATTAATAATTGGTGCTAAAGTAACTATCTCATGTTGTTTCTTATCACTTAAACCACAATTATGGGTAAACGTGGGAACTTCTTCGGAAAAACATTTATGATTTGAGCTACTAGGACTTAAAGTATTAATTTTGTTAAGTAATTCTTTAAGAGTAGATGGACAATTCTAAAAAATGGTTTTCGTAATTAGATAATACTTTAAAGATCAAATTGATAGAAAATAGAAAAGATCTGGATGGTAATCAAAATAAATAACACAAAATATTGCTGTTTTTACTCACATTTAAGCAATTTGTGGGAAATTTGTTGAGTTCGTCGTTAGACAAACCTTTGAAGTAATCAAACCAATCGCAAGGAAAATATTTAAATATGTCTTTCACTAGAATATGCGTGTTTGGAAAATTGTATATCCATTGATGATTATTGAGAAAAGTCAATGTATCTTTGAGATAATCCGTTGTATTGGAGTATGATAATGGAAGACTCATTTCTTTCACTATGATGAAGAAGTCAGATCAGAAGATTCGTTTTCATAATCTATACCTATAAAAACAGTTATATATCTGTTTTATCTTGATCTGTGATTTGAATAATTACAATAAGTTAAAAGATATTATTTTTTTAAACATAGAATAAATACAATTTTATATTAAAAGAATATAAATGTCAAATGAAACATTTCAATAAAAATTATCTATAGAGAAATAGTCAATATTTATAGTGAAATAGTGATTAATTTTCTACTATTTTTGTTGTTGCTAAATTTCTAGAATATTTTATAATTAGATTCGATATAATTTTAGCAGTAATACTCGAGCTAAAGCTATCGGGCTCCAATTAATGCCAAAATTATGTCTCTTCAAAATGATATTAAAATATTCACGAGATTTAGACGCAACAAAAATAGCTATTTATCAAGATCTTGGTATATTGTAACATTTTAAAATTCCATTTAAAAATGTTATTTTAATTATATGACATACATCATACAATAGAGCCTCGTGAAAAACAGAATTTATTTTTTGTTTAGGAAGCGAATGTAAGCAATCTTTTAGTTTTTCCTTCCTGTCTCAAATCTAACATAAAGGAGCTGTTTCAAATTAAACAATTGGTATGTTTTGGAGCTCGAGAAGCTACAGAGGCTAATGATGATAGCGACATTCCAATCTTAGATGGAGATCTTCAGATACATACATTCACGAGGCTAAGGCTAAATGTTGAATATCGTACGATAATAGTGTTAAAATTTAAAGTTGTTGGTATAGGGTGAGATTTCAGAACGTCTGCAACTTTGCAGATCTGCAAATATGGCGGCAACTTTGCAGATCTGCAAATATGGCGGACTTACAACACTAAACCCAAATCCATTACTATGTTTAAAAACTCGATAATCTGACACCACGAACTGTATTCAATCAAAAGGAACAGAAGACTTCATGATTATTAAAAAAAAAAAAAGTTAAAATTGACAATCTGCAAGTTTGTACGATGTTCTAACCTCATTAAGGGTGGATTTGGGTTTAGTGTTGTAGGGGGTAATAAACCACAATAAATTGAGAATTTGCAGATATGTTTTGGAATACGAAAACATGATACTTGCATCTGTAAGTCCGCCATATTTGCAGATCTGCAAAGTTGCCGCCATATTTGCAGATCTGCAAAGTTGAAGACGTTCTGTAATCTCACCCATAATCAATTTGTTATTTAATCCCTGCATTTATTTAAATTTGTAAAATTTATGATATCGTTAGAACTTAAAACCAATCAGAATCAAATAAATCGACTATCATGCATGGTGCTCGATATTTACCTATGTTGACAGCGACTCGCATACTTGATATTAGGTAAGTTAGGGTATGGTCCCAATATTAACCGAAATATCGGTTACTTGGTCCAAAACTAACCACTCTGCTCAACATTTTTGAAAAAGACGTTAAATTAGGAATGCGGTTACCTGAAAATGGCGACTCAAACGTCAATTCACTAACCGGTATATTTTTACGGTTACCATTAAGACGAATGTCAATCTGTAACAAAAGTGTCGTAACTGCCTTGGTCCAAATGTAACCAAGAAAATTATCACGGGGTTATGATTTGACTCGAAATTTACCTGGACCCAGCATCTAGAAAAAACCACAAGAAGAGCAGAATCCTCGTTAATGATGGCAAGGCGATCCTTTGGAAAAATGGGGGTTAAAACCAGACATGGTATATTGGCTTTATAATATGGTGGTGAGACACAGCATAGGAAAGCAATAACGAGGCTAAGCAAGGTACAAAGACTTGCCTGCCTCGGAATAATGGGGGCAATGAAAACCAACTCCCACAGCTGCAATAGAAGCACTAATAGGACTCCCACCTCTTCACTATGTGATACAAGGGGAGGCAACATTAGGTGCTTACATATTAGGGAATACACTGGGAAATCTTAACAGTATCTCACGGTTAGTGACAGGAAACGAAACCACATAACCAAGAGGTACTCTTTTAATACTCCATTTGAGGTTTTAATACAGGAAAGAGTGGAGATCACCATAAGGAAGCCCAATGCTCAACGACAGGAACAAACCTGGTATACAGACGGGTCTATGACTGCGGAAGGCACTGGGACAGAAGTATTCTCCAAAAACCCTGATACTAACCGTAGCTATGCTATAGGAATACATTCCTCGGTATTTTAGGCCGAGGTATACGCAATTTTGCAATGTGCAAAAACGAACAATAAAAGAGCTGTCGAAAAGAAGCATATTCAAATAATGTCAGACAGCTAAGCGGCACTTAAGGCCATATGGAGTCAGAAAGTTACGTCGAGACTGGTATGGGAACGCATCAAAGAACTAAGAACACTGGTAGACCAAAATATAGTAAAACTATTTTGAGTGCCAGGTCACCAAGGGATTGAAGGCAACGAAAAGGCGGACGAATTTGCAAAACGAGGGTCAGAAGAAACACCGGAACCAGACACAAACCCAGGAGTACCAAAAAGTACAGTCCGGCGTTTCATAAACGACTGGATTCGGGAACAACATATTAACTATTGGGGAAGCACCCCAAAACAGGCACATGGAAAAGCCTTAATAGGCAGACCATGTCCCAAAAGAACTGGAGAACTACTTTTTATGAATAGGAACTAGTTGAAAGTGATAACAGGGTTCATGACTGGACACGCCCCAGTAAAAGGACACTTGAACAAAATTGGCATGTTAAATTTGGAACTCATGTGCCGACTATGTCACAAGAAACCAGAAACGGCCAAACACATACTGTGCGAATGCGAAGCTCTAGATCGCAAAAGACAGGTACTTTTTGGACAACCCCAGGTTGATTCAACAACGTATAGAACCCACTCACCCAAGGATCTGTACAAACTTGTACAAGGTACAAAGGTGACAGAATGGGTGGTATGAACTAACATGGGGTAAAACACAATAAGTCAATAGGCTTCAGTGTTATTCGGAGACATAGTCAGACGAGCCCAGGAGAAAAAAAAACAAGAACCAGGAACTGCTGTTAAAAGTCCTGGTTAGTTACGGTTAATATCGGACCAGACCCTTAATAACGGTTACTGTCAAATATATTTATTGTCAGAGAACAAACTAATATCCGAAAAGAACAACCAAAGAAGCGACAAAAATGGAGTGGGGGGGTAACCCGACCAACTGTCATTTCAATTTCAACGTGCCTGCCACATAGATAGTTTGCCAGTTTAACTAGTCATTTTAATCTCCGTTTAACACAACCGTGGAATCGGCCCTAAATGATCTGTGGTTTAGTCGTGATTCTTGACTTGTCATGTTAATATTTGCTATTTGCCAATTCGATTTGAGTTAAAAATAAATTTTTAGAAAAATGCGTTTAATTTACTATTTAAAAAAATTGACAGTAGAACCTTCCGTTAAAAATCATCAAAATTTGTTTCTATTATGTTTCCTACCCGAGTTTCAATTACACATCCGTAAATGTAACTTTTATTATTTGTAGGGGAACCAATGACACTTTTAGGTGTGTTATTTCAAATATTTCGTTCATTCTTACCTTGTCAAACATGGAAATACTTTGCTAGTCTCTGCAGCGATGCGGCCCTCGACGTCTTAAAAAACCCTGGCTCTCCTACTATATAGACTAGATGACAGTTGTTTAAAAATGTGAATGTCGCATTGGCGGAAATGTCCCAAATCAGTTTCCTAGCCCTGTCTCTATGCCAGGGCCGGACTATTTTAATTTAAATATGTATTGAATGTTTATTCAACATCCTCCCCTACAAGAAAGTAAGCTGGGGAGATTTTACTAGCTAAAATTGTGATTGAACTCAAAAATTGTGTGCATATGTATAAAATAATGTTTTATTATCCTGTATGACGTAACTAAAAAAAAAAAAAAAATAAACGATACACGAGGGAAAAAATGTTAATATGCAGCATTGGCAGAAACGTCCCAAATCAGTTTCCTAGCCCTGTCTCTATGCCAGGGCCGGACTATTTTAATTTAAATATGTATTGAATGTTTATTCAACATCCTCCCCCCACGAAAGTAAGCTGGGGAGATTTTAATAGCTAAAATTGCGATTGAACTCAAAAATTGTGTGCATATGTATAAAATAATGTTTTATTATCCTGTATAATGTAACTAAAAAAAAAAAAAAAATAAACGATACACGAGGGAAAGAATGTTAATATGCAGCATTGGCAGAAACGTCCCAAATCAGTTTCCTAGCCCTGTCTCTATGCCAGGGCCGGACTATTTTAATTTAAATATGTATTGAATGTTTATTCAACATCCTCCTCTACAAGAAAGTAAGCTGGGGAGATTTTAATAGCTAAAATTGTGATTGAACTCAAAAATTGTGTGCATATGTATAAAATAATGTTTTATTATCCTGTATAATGTAACTAAAAAAAAAAAAAAAATAAACGATACACGAGGGAAAAAATGTTAATATGCAACATTGGCAGGAACGTCCCAAATCAGTTTCCTAGCCCTGTCTCTATGCCAGGGCCGGACTATTTTAATTTAATTATGTACTGAATGTTTATTCAACATCCTCCCCTACAAGAAAGTAAGCTGGGGAGATTTTAATAGCTAAAATTGTGATTGAACTCAAAAATTGTGTGCATATGTATAAAATAATGTTTTATTATCCTGTATAATGTAACTAAAAAAAAAAAAAAATAAACGATACACGAGGGAAAGAATGTTAATATGCAGCATTGGCAGAAACGTCCCAAATCAGTTTCCTAGCCCTGTCTCTATGCCAGGGCCGGACTATTTTAATTTAAATATGTATTGAATGTTTATTCAACATCCTCCCCTACAAGAAAGTAAGCTGGGGAGATTTTACTAGCTAAAATTGTGATTGAACTCAAAAATTGTGTGCATATGTATAAAATGTTTTATTATCCTGTATGACGTAACTAAAAAACAAAATGATAAACGATACACGAGAGAAAAAAATATGAATATGTAGCATTGGCGGAAACGTCCCAAATCAGTTTCCTAGCCCTGTCTCTCCAAGGCCGGACTATTTTAATTTAAATATGTATTGAATGTTTATTCAACATCCTCCCCCCACGAAAGTAAGCTGGGGAGATTTTATTAGCTAAAATTGTGATTGAACTCAAAAATTGTGTGCATATGTATAAAATAATGTTTTGTTATCCTGTATGACGTAACTAAAAAAAAAAAATAAACGATACACGAGGGCAAAAATGTTAATATGCAGCATTGGCAGAAACGTCCCAAATCAGTTTCCTAGCCCTGTCTCTGACAGGGCCGGACTATTTTAATTTAAATATGTATTGAATGTTTATTCAACATCCTCCCCCACAAGAAAGTAAGCTGGGGAGATTTTACTAGCTAAAATTGTGATTGAACTCAAAAATTGTGTGCATATGTATAAAATAATGTTTTATTATCCTGTATGACGTAACTAAAAAAAAAAAAATAAACGATACACGAGGGAAAAAATGTTAATATGCCGCCATGGCAGAAACGTCCCAAATCAGTTTCCTAGCCCTGTCTCTATGCCAGGGCCGGACTATTTTAATTTAAATATGTATTGAATGTTTATTCAACATCCTCCCCCCACGAAAGTAAGCTGGGGAGATTTTACTAGCTAAAATTGTGATTGAACTCAAAAATTGTGTGCATATGTATAAAATAATGTTTTATTATCCTGTATGACGTAACTAAAAAAAAAAATAATAAACGATACACGAGGGAAAAAATGTTAATATGCAGCATTGGCAGAAACGTCCCAAATCAGTTTCCTAGCCCTGTCTCTATGCCAGGGCCGGACTATTTTAATTTAAATATGTATTGAATGTTTATTCAACATCCTCCCCCACAAGAAAGTAAGCTGGGGAGATTTTACTAGCTAAAATTGTGATTGAACTCAAAAATTGTGTGCATATGTATAAAATAATGTTTTATTATCCTGTATAATGTAACTAAAAAAAAAAATAAACGATACACGAGGGAAAGAATGTTAATATGCAGCATTGGCAGAAACGTCCCAAATCAGTTTCCTAGCCCTGTCTCTATGCCAGGGCCGGACTATTTTAATTTAAATATGTATTGAATGTTTATTCAACATCCTCCCCCACAAGAAAGTAAGCTGGGGAGATTTTACTAGCTAAAATTGTGATTGAACTCAAAAATTGTGTGCATATGTATAAAATAATGTTTTATTATCCTGTATAATGTAACTAAAAAAAAAAAATAAACGATACACGAGGGAAAGAATGTTAATATGCAGCATTGGCAGAAACGTCCCAAATCAGTTTCCTAGCCCTGTCTCTATGCCAGGGCCGGACTATTTTAATTTAAATATGTATTGAATGTTTATTCAACATCCTCCCCTACAAGAAAGTAAGCTGGGGAGATTTTAATAGCTAAAATTGTGATTGAACTCAAAAATTGTGTGCATATGTATAAAATGTTTTATTATCCTAAAAAACAAATTGATAAACGATACACGAGAGAAAAAAATATGAATATGTAGCATTGGCGGAAACGTCCCAAATCAGTTTCCTAGCCCTGTCTCTATGCCAGGGGCGGACTACGTTCTGTGTTTTAATTTAAATATAAGTTAAATGTTTATTTATCAGTCTTGTTTCCAGTGATTATATTTTCAATCTTATTACTTTCCTATCTGTATACAGATATAAGGAAAGTATAGGAATCATGATTTTTTTCGACCTCGAGTTTTCGACGGATTTTTACGTTTTGAGGTCCCCTGAATCCGTTTTGACTATTTTCGCGATGATGTCTGTCTGTCTGTGTGTGTGTGTGTGTGTGTGTGTGTGTGTGTGTGTGTGTGTGTGTGTGTGTGTGTGTGTGTGTGTGTGTGTCTGTATAACGCATAACTCATGAACCGATACACAAAAAAACACCAAATTTTAAACTTAAGCTTTGTTTCAGCGTCCAATGAGCTGATTAGATTTTGGGCAGAGTCGGAACATCTGGGGGGGTACTTTATAGGTGGTCATTTTTATATTTTATGGAATATATCTGTTATTTACGTTTGGAGAAGAAAATTCTTCAAATAAAAGTTACTTCTAATATAATTATCTATAATTTTTGTTTTATGCAAAATTTTCCTAAAATGGTCCGTATTCGAGAAATTTGACAAAATGTAAAAAAAATAATTTTTTATAAAAATTGTTCAAATAAAAGTTGTTTGTAATATAATTCTCTATAATTTTTGTCCTATACATAATTTCTCTAAAATGGACCGTATTCGAGATATTTGAGAAAATGTGTAAATTTCGAAATTTGAAGAAAAGTCAAAAACGGATAAAGGAAAAAACATTAAATTTTAAACTTAAGGTTTATTTCGGCCTGACGTGAAATGATTAGATTTTGGACAAAGTCGGAACATCTGGGGGGGTACTTTATGAAAGGCCGTTTTTATATTTTATGGAATATATCTGTTATTTATGTTTGGAGAAGAAAATTGTTCAAATAAAAGTTACTTCTAATATTATTATCTATAATTTTTGTTCTATGTCAAAATTTCCTGAAATGGTCCGTATTCGAGAAATTTGACAAAATGTGCAAAATTCTGATTTTTATGAAAATTGTTGAACTAAAAGTTGTTTCCGATATCGATTTCTATAATTTTCGTTTATATATGATTTTTCTAAAATGGACCGTAATGGAAAAGTGCTAAATTTAAATTTTTCTGTATTTTCGTTTTCAATGAATATCTATAGAAAAATGTTTCGAGGTAGATGTATGTGGAAAATGTATATATTTAGTTTATCCTCTAAACATTTATAGAGATGCTGCAATAGGTTGTACAAAATAACCGGAAAATGCCTATAATAACTAGATAGGAAAGTCATGTGTTGGACACATCAGATTTTTTTATATTATGTACATTTTCTGCCTAGTAATAACGTATTATAGATGTCTCTTCGCGTTCATATTTAATTTTTAATGTTTTTACGTTTATTTGTTTCTAAATTTCTTAAATTTTGTGTAGTTTCTGTAAAAATTCATATGAAATCCTTTTAGTACTCCAAGATCATTTCTATTAACCTTACACCTATTGTGACTCAAATAAATTCAACTTCTGCCTAAGTTTATAACCTTTTTAAGTGTTAGAAACAACTCTGTTCCAGATACTTCGGTGTCTAAGTTGATCTGTAACCTTGTGAAACTAAATATTAAACATTACTCTTCAGTTATTATATTTTATGAAGTATAAAACATATAGAGAACGATTTCAGAAAAACTAATCCTGTTAAAAATATATATTAACAAAAGAAAAACAGTTTTAATATTGAAATTACGGTTGGGCGACTATCAAAATAAAAAAATCGATTATTTGCCCACCCCTAATTGCAACAAAGCTAATCCAAACACTATAATGAAAATTTATACAATATTCTCCATAACTGTCCATAATTCTTCGTCGCGCTTACGAACATCCATTTTATCACTTTTGGCGCCTATAACGACTTTTCCAGTTTTCAAACAATTGCTGGGTCCCAAATAATTCTCGGCTACCTCGCCTAAATCGTTTTTGTTCACGCTCAACAATTCCACCCGGTGCCTTTGTTTTATATCCGGAGTGACTCTTTTCAGGAATTCCTCGCAACCTTTTTGACTAGGCGGTATGGGGGCGTCGACCGACTGAAATACGCCTAATTTAGCTTCGAAAATATCTTGATTAGAAAGTTTATCGATTTCGCTATTGAACCATTTATAAGAGCTGTCAAATACGTCTAAAGTTTCCAAATTACGAGGATCTCTATAACTGTAGAAAGAAAATACTCCGTCGCTCATTAATCTCGCGCCGCCGCCATAAGCTCCTTGTTTTTCTCTGAGTTCTGGGTGTAAATATTTAGAAGACAACAGCCTTGCTAGAACTCTCAATTTGGCGAAATCCGGATGAGTATAAGGTACCGTAAGAACGGCTTTACTACAATAGTTTACAGGTATATTTAAAACGTGATGTTGACAATTTACAGAATCCGTTGGACACCAAACTTTACCGGTAACGTAGCTGGTATCGCTCTGTACATGACAATTAATTGCCTCGGGTAGATTGCTGACAAAGCTTTCATAAGTATCGAGTATCTTCGTTTGATTTTCTGGTGAAATGTTTAACGCGACTCTGCAAATAAATAAAATAAATCATTACAAAAAAATATGCTAAATTTACTTCTTAAGAGGTACTATCCGACACCCAATTAATCGACAGGATATTTAAAGGGAAAGGAACATATCTTAAATGTGAATGGAGATACCACTAAGTTGCTTCCAAATAAACTATACATTAACATCAAATATCAACAAGAATTCACAAACACAAAGCAGCTTTAGAAGGCAGAACATAACAAAGTCACTCTTGAATGAGTGCAGGAACATGAGGGAGTATTTGGAAACGAGAAAGCAGACCTCCTAGCCAGGAAGGGAACTGAAAAAACTTTAATTGGACCAGAATCCACTTGAGGTATTTCATACCAACATGTTAAATGGGTGCTAACGAAAAAGATAAATAAAGAACACCATAGGCTCTAATTGGAACTCCCTGTCCAGTACCTATCCAAAATATTCATAGAGGGGGAGCATTCGTTATATTAGCCCATGGTCTTTGTTCTTCAGGGCTTTTTTGATTAGCTAAATTAATATATGATCGTATCAAAGAACAGACAAAATCAACTGTTAAACCTTAGAAGAAGCGAACTAAAGGCCGTAATAGGACTCTTTACGGGACACTACAGTCTTAGAAGACACCTAAATATATTAGGGACATCTGATGGTCCCCTTTGCAGAATATGTGAAGAAGACAAAACTTCTACTCACATACTATGCCATTCCCGGAACCTTAAATGGGAACGAGAATGGCACTTCTGGGTACTTGTATTCTTCAAGAATATTAACCTGGTGGGGAAGAAATTGAAGAGTACAAAAAGCCTAGAGCTCAGATAGATAGACAGATGATAGAAGGAGATCATGGCGGAAATTCTGCTTTGCACTGAAGAAAACTGGAAGGCAATAACAGAAATGATACGAAGTATAATGAAGAAAAAGGCACTAGACGAACCATGTGAAAAAAAAATGGACAGACAAGTTAGGAATTCTTTTTGCTTTGAAGTAATGCTTATGGCGGTTCCGAAGGTAAAGGTTTTATGATGTAAACCCATGCAGAGAAGTCTTACACTGCCTGCGGGTCACAACGAGTCAGCGCTATCATGCGATATGCTGATTCATTGAGCTCATTAGGCGCCATAACGGGTTTAAACCATCTCTACAATCTTTGTTTAATGGGACCAGAATTCTAAGGAAATCTAGACCTATTAAGGAAAGAAAAAAAAATAGATTAGATGATAGATAGATGATAGATAGACGATAGATAGATGATAGACGATAGATAGATAAATGATTGATGATATATAGATATAGATGACTAGATAGATATATGATAAAATGGATGATACAATAGAATAGATGATAAATAGACGATAGATAAACGATAGATAGATGATGGATACATGATTGATAGAGAGATGATTGAGATATATAATAGATGATAGATATATAGATGAATAGATAGATAGATAGATGATAAAATGGATACAATAGAATAGATGATAGAGATAGATAGATGATAGATAGACGATAGATAAATGATAGATAGATGATTAATAGATAGATAATTGATAGATATATGATTGATGATAGATATATAGATATAGATGAATAGATAGATGATAAAATGGATGATACAATAGAATAGATGATAGATGATAGACGATGGATAAACAATAGATAGATGATGGATAGATAATTGATAAATAGATGATTAATAGATAGATGATTGATAGATGATTGATAGATATATGATTGATAGATAGATGATTGATAGATAGATAAGAGATAGATAGATAGAAGATAGATAGACAATAGATGGAGAGATGATATATAGATGATAGATATATAGATTAGGATTGTTATCAAAGTACTTTTAAGAATTATATGGCCACCTCCTAACAAAATAACTAAGCATTAGCCAATAGCATTTATAAATAGGTATTTGAGCACTTATACAATCGTTATGGCAAAATAACTAACCATTGACAGGGAATCAATTTGGGGCAAATTGTCTGACTGACCGTAATTATTAACAAAAAAAAAATGTCAACTCGCAAAACCACCATTTCCCGTCAAAATAGCGACTAGTCAGTGCCAGTAGCATTATGAAGAATCGGTTGGTTGCGTTCTTACACAATCGACGCTGATGACGTAGCAGCTAACTGGAACGACATCCCAGGGGATATAAAATAACCCCAGACTTATTGTTCTTGTACAATTATGTTGCATTTATTTTTGATAAAAGATAATATACATTTTTTTTTTCTTACTACAGTCCACTCGCTTCCAGCTGATCAGAAGGAAGCGTTATTTTGATTCTGAAGAGTTAACTCATTTATATTCTCTATAGCGTACCAAAATCGCTTGGATTAAAGGCCTATCATGATTTTTTTTCGACAAGGACATAAAACATTTTTAATAATTTTGACAAATCTGACTTTTTTTTGACTATTCTGTAAAGCTAGTCGAATTCAACATTGCTGTAAACTAATTAACCTACATTTTCTTTCTATATTTTTTTAATATCATATCTGAGTTTTATCCTTCTTAATTGAATAAATAATTAAATAGATGGACTGTATTATTATAATATTAATTATTTTATCACTAGAAATGGGTAAATTTTGTATAATTCATCGTAATATATTAAAATAAATTTCTATTTCACTCACCTCATTTTGTTCCTGTCAAACAGTATTCTGGCTATATTTACGATCTCGTCCAGCATCGCTCTATAATTAGAAGTGTGTAACAGTCTTTTCATGTACGATATATGATGCAATCCAGACAGTAACTCAACTTGATATCCAGATCCAGAAACCAGACCCGACGCAGCTTGCATTGCATAAATATGTCCAGCATCGGCAATACCTTGGGTCAAATTGGACATATAAAGTTGAACCAGCATTTGAAATCGTTGCACGTCCTTCATTTGTTTAATAGTGAATATTTGATTCCAAATGTCCCACATACTTTCGACGTTCTTTTCTAGGGAATAACTGCTGATATATAAACCTGGTTCGTATGTGTGAAGATGGAATAAACTTTCACCGATGTGGCTGTTGAAGTTCAAACCGGAAGTTTTCCTGCTTACTAAATTGTCGAATTGTTTGAAATCCATTTTATCAGTTCCTAATTTATGTATCACATAACAAAACAGAGGTAAAAGCATTTGTTGTTCAGGAGAAAGATCGTTAGTGTTGAGGATGCCTTTGAAGTATACTATTCCATTTGCGTTTACTTTGTTGATTTGAGTTTGGACATTGTTTAGGGAAATTTTAATTTTTTCTACTTTCTCCAATTCGGAACTAATATCGTCGATAGCTAAAGTGGGTAACAATTCAGTCTTAGATAGTTGTTTTTGCTGAGCCTGCAACTCCAAGCCTTTCTCGTAGATGATTTGTTTATCTTTTTCAGATAGTCCTTTAATTTTATTTTTTATTAACTGTTTTTCTTCGTTTGACAATTTTGTATCAAACTCTTTATCCGCGGTCATTGTAAGGATAAGTTTGTGGTTGTTTTCTTTAAAATACTTTTGTACGAGATTTTGCAAGAAGTTTGGATCTTTATTTAGATCTGATTTTAATTTTTCGATTAATTTATTAGCATGAAGATGGCCTAGAATGTTTTCTGTGTGATTCCATAAGGACGAAACAGAGAATAATAAATTTAATCCGAAATTATTGGTTTCGTGTTTTATAGATAGTTCATAACGATGCAAAACGCTTTCAATGTGTTGAGGTTCGAAACCCTTTTTTATTACGTTATCAATTGTTTCGTCGAAAATTTTTATAACTTTCTCAAAATCACTTTTCATTACACCTTGAAGACCTACAGTGAATATACTATCTCTAGGTTGGTTATCGAATCCGGTTGATGCTGTAAAACCTCCTGAGAAATTAGGCTCAATCAAACTCTTATAAAACGGAGAATTTGGTCCTTTAATTAAAAGTTCTGTCAAAAAATGCATGACAAAAGTATCGTAAATATTTGTTGTATCTGTGACTAAAAACGAAATCGAAATAGTATTCTGCTTGATTATTGGTTCACCTAAACTGTCATATCTGCACAATATATCTTCTCGTTTCGGAGAAGTCCATCGTTTTTGATTAGGTACCACAGTATGAGTAGGTGGTGAAAATGCGTATTTGCTTAAGTACTCGCTATCGATGTATTTCAAAGTAGGAGCTAATGGAAAGTTGCCGTAAGAATATATTCGTGAATTACTAGGATGATAATGTTTTTTATGAAACATTACCAAATCATCCCAAGTAAGATTTGGAATTTCCTGCGGATCGCCTCCAGATACAACACCGTACGTATGATCCGGTAATATCAAATTTTGCAATTTCTGACCGAGAATATTTTCATTTTCCGAAAATACGCCTTTCATTTCATTATAAACGACACCTTTTATGGTAATATCGCTTTTTTTATTAGTCGGATCGGTATTTTCGAGTCTCCAGCCTTCTTGCATAAAATCGAGCTCTTTCAACTGTGGTCTAAACACTGCATCTAAGTAGATCTTTTGCAAATTTCTATAATCGGAGTAGTTTAGAGTACTAAAAGGGTACATAGTGTAATCTGATGCTGTCATGGCGTTCATAAAAGTAGCTAAAGACCTATTTAACATTTTAAAAAACGGATCTCTAACTGGAAACGATTCAGATCCACATAATACTGTATGTTCTAGAATATGCGGTAGCCCAGTACTCGCCATAGGTGTTGTACGTAAATTAATTGAAAATACATTGTTACAATCATCTCTATACAAATGTAAATATTGCGCCTTGGTTTTCTCGTGAATTAAATAAACCGCCGTTATTCGAAATTCCGGAATATTTTGGACGTATTTAGCTAGAAACCCATGGTAAGTTTTTCCAGGTTTAAATAAATCAATATCGGACGTTTCTGAGATTTCTATCCTTTTTGGAATATTAGTTATTCCTCTTGTTGTTCTCCGAAAAATACTTAAACTTGATATAGAAGGTCGCCCAGTAATTTTTTGCCACATTTTACTGTCTACAAAGAGATAATATAAGGTATAAATGAATTTAATAGTACGTTGTACATGTATAAACATAACTCAGCAGCAAAAGAAGGTGAAAAAAATAGAATATTATACAGTTCAAGGAAGGTTGAGTAAAGAACTGATTGCCTTGGACCTAGGGATAAACCACTAAGGCCAAAACGTACTTGTATTTCGGAAGTCACCTAAAATTGGTATTTTCGTATTTCGCCGAAATCCCCCTATGCTAGAAAACAAATATACTTTTATGTCTAGGAACCGAGATATTTGATTGTGACTATTTTTTCCTTGGGGTTTTCCCTTATTTCCCTCATTATATTCTTCACAAAGTAGTCTGTAAAGAGTATTATAGGTTTAATTTGTCCACACAATGGGATATTAACAAAGACATTACAACTAAGAAGCCAAATTGTTTACATTTTTATGTGGCAAATCATTATTCCCACCAGATTCTCGTTTATTGCGTCTTTGCCAGTCTGTAAAAATTATTTGGATAAATTACTTTCGAAAAATAAATTTTGATGTATCCTATAACTATAATTTTATATTATACAAATAAAAATATGTTTTTAATCAAAAGTAATAACACTAATAACTAAGCATAAAAAAATTAAATGAAATTTTAGTTAATAAAATCAAGATATTTTAATTTTTTTAGTTTTTTTACGATATTTTTTGCCATACCATGTTTTTTGTAAATTATTAATTAAAAAATTATATATTTTTAGGACAGTGTTTTATTTAGATACCCCTACATACTTAATGTTAATTTAAAATTTTAAATAATTTTGATTAACATCATACCAGGCAAATATACAGGGTGTTATTGAAATACACGTACATATTAAAACTGGGTATTGCGCAGATCCCCACTGAATGTAGAAAAATATTATTTTTTAAAAATACCCCTTATTAAGGGAGTTATTAATTTTTGAAAATTAATTCTAAAACAAACGTACTTCACTGATATGTTGAGGATGACCTATATAAATTAGGTTTATTTACCTATTTTAAACATCAACAGTAATTAATATGCAAATTTTTGTCAGATGATAAGAAAACTAGTCTTGTAAGAAATAACCATGTTGCCAAGATTTTCGAATTAATTTCTATTTCCGAAGACTGGTTTTTACTACCCTCGTTATCAAAAAACTACAATATTTGATAAACGATTGTTTTTAAACTATACATTTTTGAAACTATAGATTATTAAAATTTTAGTTGATTTACGAATCTGGCTAAGACGAGCGCGTCATTTCCAAGTTGGTAAAAAGTGTTGTTACGATTACTTTTAAATATTTTTTTACGATGCCACTATTTACGAATATTGAACTAACGGATATAGTGCTGGTTTATGGGGCAGCTGGAGAAAATTCTCGGCAAGCACAAATCCTGTATCGCGAACGGTTTCCAAATCGGAGAATTCCGGACTGTCGTACGTTTATTTCAACTGTTCAGCATCTAAGAGACCATGGAAAATTTGAGAGTGTCAATGCAGATCGAGGGAGAACAAGAACACAAAGAACATTGGCGGCCGAAGAAGAAATATTGGAAGCTGTTGAAAACCGGCCTCAATTAAGTTGTAGAAGACTAGGTCTTGAAATTGGAGTGTCCTCATTTGTTGTGTGGCGGACACTTAAAGAACAACGTTTACATCCTTATCACATCCAAAAAGTCCAGGCCTTATATCCAGGTGATGAAGAAAAGAGAGTGGAGTTTTGTGAATGGATGATTCAAAAATGTGTTCATATTCCTGATTTTCTAAAAATATTATTGTATACTGATGAGGCTTCATTCACTCGTGATGGCGTGTTCAATATGCACAATACGCATATTTGGAGTGATGAAAATCCTCACGCCATTAGGGAAACTGGGCATCAAAGAAAATTTTCAATAAATGTTTGGGCTGGCAGAATAGATCAGTATTTAATCGGGCCTTATGTTCTCCCGAACAGATTAAATGGGCCAGGATATCTCCACTTTTTAGAAGATATTTTGCCAGTACTCCTAGAAGAGATACCGTTACAATTAAGGCAACGGATGTGGTACCTACTAGATGGCGCTCCTCCTCACTTTGATTTAAACGTACGGCAGTTTTTGAACATTAGATTTCCTCAAAAGTGGATAGGCAGAAATGGACCTACTAAGTGGCCTCCGAGATCTCCGGACTTAAATCCATGCGATTTCTTTTTGTGGGGTCACATGAAACAACTGGTTTATAATGAACCTATTAATAGTGTTGAACAATTAACCAATAAAGTTAATGCGGTAGCCGAGGAACTACGACAAAATCCAAGACTAATTTCTAATGTTCAAAGTTCTTTGGAAAGACGATTGCAAGTGTGTGTAAATAATAATAAAAATAATAATAAACTTTATTTTGAATTAATTGGTTTTGCTACGGCAACAGTGCAATTTCTATGGGTAAGTTCAATTTCGATTTATTTTACTTCTTTAAATATGGAAACTAGTAGGTCGGAAAAGGGGACTCTTCCCCAATATTTAAATTTTAGAATTTGAAGTTTAACACCCTGTATAGTAAATGCTAATAAACCAATAAATATTAAAAATCGGAAGGTAGCTTGAATTTACCTACATGAAAAAATCATCATAATTATATTACTAAAAAAATATACCTACTTATTTACGTATTTTTTTAACATACTACTCTGACAATACTGGTAAGTTTAAAACTCTACGCCACTGGCGAGCATATTATGGACACTGTTTACAACGTTGCCAGCCGGTCCTAAGAGATCTGTCTTTCTCTCTTCCACTCACTAATAATTTTAAAACAATAATATTTCGCAATTGTATGGGATTTATGAATGAAACATTTTATTTCTATGTTGTAATATCTTTGGATATTAACAGCAAATCATAATTCAAAAACAAAAAATGCTATCAACTTGAAATTTTTAGCAAAAATCGAGCTCTGTAAGGGGAAGAAGCCCTTGGATTTTGACAAAAAATAAAATAAAAATAAAGAATTTACGGGACCTTTGAAATTAAAAAAAAAAAAAAAAATCAAATCAAAAACGAAAAGTGATAACAGCATGAAATTTTTAGTAAAAATCAAGCTTTATAAAGAGATCAAGTCTATTGATTCTGAAAAAAAAAAAAAATTGAATAAAAATGGGGGGTTAAGGGGAGTTCAAATATTTAAAAAAATTCTAACTCAAAAAGGATCAATAATATCAACTTGAATTTTTTGGCAAAAATCAAGCTTAACCTATTAATTTAAAAAATTTCTGAAGTGGGGGGGTCAGGGCGGAAGATAAAAAAAATAGAAATCAAAAATCAAACGCATTATCAACATGAAATGATTTTTTGACAGCAATTCCTGAAAAAAAAAATTAATTTGTTTGTTACTTTTTACCGCAAAAGTTGTGTCACTTTTGTGACAGATTGACATTCGACTTATAGGTAACCATAAAAACATACCGGTTAATGAATTGACATTTGAGTAACCATTTTCAGGTAACCCCGTCCCTAATTTAACTGGTTTTCCAGGAATTTCAAGCACAATGGTTAATTTAAGACCAAGTAATTAATATTTTTTTTGTTTAAAAATAAAATATGTTCAGTAAAGTGCAGAAATAATTTAGTATTTGTTAAAACTGCTTGCATATATAGAAATGCTCCTACATTAAATAACAATGAAAATATTATCATTTTAAGTGATATAACAGTCCCTACTAGTACAGAATATATTCATCAAATCATAAAATTTTTCTAAATAATGTTAATGAAAAAATAAATACTGATAATAAAAATAAAGATTTTCCATCCAATAAAAAAAATTATTCACATTACTTAAACAGAGAGAACAATAAAACTAAACTCTAATGATTTTTTTTTAATTTCACCCCCATTGCACCCCCTTAACAGCTCGACAATCTCCAGCATGTTATCAGGGATGAAGAAAAGAGTAAACTACATAACATATCCCAAGCAGAAAGGTGTACAGAGCCATTTGTAACTTCTATGATTTTTTTTAAATTTCACCCCAATTGCACCCCCTTAGACGTAGCAAAAGTTAATTGCGGATATGCTTGTTATGTATTGAAACCTCTATAATTGAAATATGCAAACGAAAAGCCTCTACATGTCATTTGAACCAAGTTATATGATTATTACAATAGAACTATATTTTTCTCAGTGTAGATGTGGATAATTTTATTTTATCACTTAATGATGAAATTTCAGCTTTAGTCACATCTTACTGATGAAATATTCAAAATTGCTATGATTACAATAATTATACCGTTAATAGTGACAACACAGGGATGGAACTTTAATCTACATAAGTAATAAGTAAATGTTTTGAGTTGTAAAAAATTTTGCACACAAAAAAATATTTAATAATACTATTGAACTTTTTATTTGAAAACAGTAATTACTTATTAGTTTATAGAGATCCCCTAGTATAGTTTTTGTAAGGAATTTTTAGATTTTTTTTGAATATTTTCCAGATGACTTTTTATATGATTGTAATTTTAATACATATAGTAGTAGATTAAAAAATGGTATTTTCCCAAGTTTCCCAGCCCAATAATAACAATGGTGGCTCACTTATAGATCTTGTGAAAATATTAGTGTAGAAATTATTTCATTACCAAAAATAAGTACACATTTATTACACATATATTTAGATTGTTTGGCACTATCCAAAGAACCACAATTAATTGAAAGTAAAGGTAGAATTATCGATTTTGATACTATTAATAAAAAACAATATCTATAAAGCAGTTTTCACCTTTTGTATTCATAATTTTTATTGGGGGAACTACTGTAAAACTTCAAATAAATACATTAATGAATTCCATTTTACACACATAAATAACACACATGTTTTAAAATAGTAGTCTGAGTCAGTGTGAATTGGAATAGTCAGTAGGGGCTGGGAGCAGAGTTGACAACTTTGTTTTTTAATTTTTCTGGACAAGGGTAATAAAAATTCAAGACATATGGTATACATTCTGGACATTTTCATTATTGCAATTGATAAAAAATAAGGATTCTTTGGGTAAATAGGAACTAATGATTAAACATCTTATTTAAAAAGAATAAAAAAAGTTACAGCTACTTAACAGTGTCATGCGTTTTCTTTGGGTAAATAGGAACTAATGATTAAACATCTTATTTAAAAAGAATAAAAAATGTTACAGCTACTTAACAGTGTCATGCTTTTAAAATCATATTTTTTTTTTCAATTTTGCAGTTACTATTAATTTATCAATGTGACTATAAAATATAAGAAATTGCAGATATTATTTGGAACACTGAAATTAACTACAATAAGTTACTTCAGGATACACCCCAAATGATGGACGTCCACCGAAATTCAGGACAGTTGGCAACCCTAGCTGGGAGTGATCTTCACATAAGTCTTTATTAGATAAGTATTTTTAATACTGTTAAAGTTTCAATGTTCCTAATACGTTACAAACCTACATATTAACTTAGATTTCTAGGATATAAAATAATATTACTCTTACCTGAATGATATAATGCTGCTTTCTCAAAAAATCTTAATATAACTTGGGGTACATAACATAACCTCAAAAGTAAAAACCTAAATGCATCAACTCAGGGATTAAAGTATTCCGATCCAGTAACTTCAACACTGGTATAATTTGCTATTTGTACGAAAAATACTTTATACTGGATGTCTTTGACTGTAGAGTCCTAAATAAGAATTAGAATGAGTGACTGAAAACATTGATTTTTTTAATAGAACCTACAGCTACTCTTAAAGGAGATGGTACATCTAAACAGTAATTACACTCGAGAAGTACCCCTACACCATCGGCTGTTAATTTCAAGTCGCACCTTCTACACAAGACGTCGGGATTGGGTTTCGGATTCGGCAGACTATCTGAATCGATAGGTATTGGAACTACAGCATAATCTGGACACTCTGTATACGGATTCTAAAAGGATGAAATATTTATTCTCTAACACTATTTTAACATTCTAAACAACTTACATTTTATGAATGTTTCAATATTTATTTAAATTGTGAAACACTCAAATTTCAAAAGTAAAAAAAGTCAAAGTCAACGTCAACTCATTGTTTGTCAATTGTCAGAAAATTTAAGGCAATTTTTGGTGACCTCTTTTTGAATTCACTATGACGTCATGATTAAATGTTGGCAGCATTGAGTCATAAGTGGGATAAAAAAACAAAAATGTTTCAATCAGCTGAGACTGGTAACAAACCACAGCCTAAACACAGGTTTTTCCTATCAACTGACGCTTTTTCTTTACTCACTTAGCGTAATCTATGCTCTTTACCCATTTACCCACATACTTTGATTATGATTACTATACGGTGCAAGAGAGAGGTTCGACACGCCCAATATAGGGCGCGGCACATACTTTGATTACTATACGGTGCAAGAGAGAGGTCCGACACGCCCAACATAGGGCGCGGCACATACTTTGATTACTATACGGTGCAAGAGAGAGGTCCGACACGCCCAACATAGGGCGCGGCACATACTTTGATTACTATACGGTGCAAGAGAGAGGTCCGACACGCCCAACATAGAGCGCGGCCATTTTGATTCCTATGCCACAGTTTATAGCTAAAGAATCAGATCGCTCATTCTGCGTCGGCACTTTTGATCTCAATGTTCCAGTTTATACACTGCGCAACTAGGATAATACAATATATGACAACCGCCTATAATAAAACAGCAGTCTTTTGCGTATCCTGAATTTGTATCTCTGGGGTAGTATTCTCGAGTCACGAATATAGATTCGCATGCGAGATTTATGATTTGTCTCACTTGGTTTTCGTTCAACAAAGTGAGACACATTGTAAAACACGTATGCGAATGACGGTATTCGTGATTCGAGAATACTACCCCAGGGCCTCAATTCTGGACTTCACCGGAAAATTTTCCCATGGATAAATATTCCCATGCTTATATTCCAGTGGTATTATAAAATGGTATTATCGACTAGGTTAGGAACCTTTTTCCTATGGGAATTTCGATTATTCGTATGTCTAACGTATGTCGGGTATTAAGTATGTAAATATTAGAAACTGACCAATCATAATTAATATTATATTTCAATACTTTCAAGTAGTAATGTTGGGATCATTGATTATATCGTCAACTTTTGACTATTGTTTTGCCACTTGCCATCTTGTCAGAGAAAACAATCAACCCCCTTTTTTTAGAAAATAACGTGCTGAACCTAGTACAAGGGGCACAATAAAGCCCAAACGAAGAGTAGCTGCTACAAGGTTAACTAAAACCTTGAATACTAGCCGAAATATTGAACGCATGTTACAAAATAAAAACTTTAATAAAGAAAATTATTATGACAAAAAATTCAAGTTATTAGAGAGAAATGTTTTGGCAAAAGAAAGAATAACTTGTGCCTTGGAAAAAATAGCAGAAACAGAGGAATTTTAAGGATATTTAAGAGTGTTCAATATTTTAGCTTCAAGTTTTTTAACATCTCATTATGTTATTAACAGTCGCTATTTATTTTGCGTAATAGAACAAAATTTATTCTGAAATAGCCTATTCATATTAATGAAACAAAATTTATTCTGGGATTGCTTATTCTAGAAAACTTGCGTTGATCATATTTGAGAAATTGTCTATCATTTAAGGATTCAAAGGTATCCCCTGCCTCATTTTTCCACTTAGACCAAAAATCTCTTGGGACATTAATTGCTCTTCTTTCTGCCTCTTCTATATTGTTTAATTGGGAAAGTAAAATAGCTTCATCCATTTTAGGAAAGGTATATTAGTAATAATAATATATAAATATTATTATTTGAAGTAACTAGCAAATGTCACCGGTGACAGATTCCCATTGGAAATTTGATTTCCCATGCCAAATACCAGATGTATTTGCTCCCATACTTTTCGTGAGAAAATATTCCTAGTGGATGCGTTGAGAATACAAAATATAAATTCCCATAGGAAAATTATCTTTTCCCCATGGGAAAAAAGTCGAGAATTGAGGCCCAGGAGTGGATGTTAGTTTGGAACTTTCAACTGGTCCGAGTGAGCTAACTGATTCTTTAGCAATAAACTGTGACTCCAAAAATAATATTCACTGACACTGACAGCAGCAAGCAAAATATCAGGTGCGTTTTAATCATCCGCTTCTGCTTCCGGAATTGTCGGTTTATTCGTTTTACCTGTCAGATTAAAACAAGAAAACCGACAATTCCGAAGCAGAAGCGGATGATTAAAACGCACCTATTAACAAAAATATTGCGCCAAGATATAGGCAACACGTAATAAGGGATCAAAATGGCGGAGTTTTCTATCTCCGTTTAAAGGCACTCAGAAAGCTGCGCAGTGCGACCATTCTCTGTATAGTAAAATAAAATCAAAGTATATGTTGAGATGCGACTCTGTGGACAAAGACAGGTTATTTTTCATCTCACTCGGGAGTATTTATGACAACCATTTTCTATTTCACTTTGTTATTGTCTGATCCACCAGCATGTGGATTGAACAATAACAATGTGAAATAGAAAATGGTTATTATAAATACTTCCGAGTGAGATGAGAAATAAAAATGGCTGCACCCATAGAGTTGCATCTTGTTCTATTGATACAATATGCACATTGGCTTTCTACCCCACTCCAGTTCATTGTCTTTTTACCCCACATCCCTTTGCTGAAAAATTTTTGAAGTTGCAGGGTCATTTGATGGTCATTTGCAAAGGCTTTGCGCCATCTATTAGTTTACACAGCAAGTAATAAAAGCAGGATTCTGTTTTAAAGGAAACTGTAAATTATTTTTGTGCATGTGCAATCCAAAATAATGTTTTAAGGGTGAGATTACAGAAGGTCTGCAACTTTGCAGATCTGCAAATATGGCGGACTTACAGATGCAAGTATCAAGTTTTCGTATTCCAAAAAATATCTTCAAATTCGCAATATTTATTGTGGTTTATTACCCCTAACAACAGTAAATCCAAATCCACCCTTAAGAAGGTTAGAACATCCTACAACCATGAAGTATTCTGTTTCTTTTGATTGAATACAGTGCGTGGTGTCAGATTATCGAGTTGTTAAACATAGTAAATGGATTTGGGTTTAGTGTTGTTAGGGGTAATAAATCACAATACATATTGCGAATTTGCAGATCTTTTTTGGAATACGAAAACTTGATACTTGCATGTAAGTCCGCCATATTTGCAGATCTGCAAATTGCCGCCATATTTGCAGATCTGCAAAGTTGCAGACGTTCTGTAATCTCACTCCTAACAGCTTATATTCCATGATATGAGGGCAATTCGTGATGAATATGGTCCTTTTCATAGTAATTTATGTTTAAGGGATACGTTAAACTGATTATAAAAGTGTAAGATACCGATTGGTTTGTGTTACTAATGATATATTCAAGGATTGAAAATGAATATGAACGAATTATTTTGTTTTTCAACTTACGTCTATAACGGGAAGTTTCTCGGCATCTATAGGACATCTTCCAAGTCGTTTTTCTAAAGATGTATATTCTTCACAGGGAAATGGATTTGCGTTTTTGTCTAATGTGTTAAAATTAAATTGCATTTCATCACCATAAGGATATTTAGTATTGGCGGGTATATCATATTCTTCAACTTTTTGAGCGTTCTCGGCATGTTGAAAAATTGTTGTTAGTAGTAAAAATAAAACAAGTTTATTCATATCATTTCACACTTTAAATTTTGAAGGTTTAATGCCAAATTCACTATAATATAATGTCATTGTCAATATTTAAGATCGCTTTTGTGTCATCCTTAGACAATACCTATTAGGTCTTTTCCTTTGCATCGAAAGTGTAGCAATGAGCTACACCACTTCAGAAAATATCGTTCCATCCATACAATTTGTATAAATGGAACGATATTTTCAGAAGCGGTGTAGATCAGTGCTACACTTTCGATGCAAAGGAAAATACCTAGTCTAAGATATATACAACCATATGTAAGAAATAATATAAAATTGTAATAAAACACGATAATAACGTAGCAAACTGAGTTTACTCCAATCGATACAACGAATATGTCTTAACAGCAGCGAGACCGCATGACATGACCTCCACAACAACGAAGAACCGCCATTACAGTGGCACTGACTTGCACATACAACTCACTCTAATAATTAAGATATAGGCAACATGATATACACACATGTGTGATACTGGTTGCCTATGCTACACTCATCATATTCCTACACATATAAGATTGTTTTTCTTTTCTCTACATTCCATAAGGTGAACACATCTTTTCTGTTTGAAAGTAACAGACAAAAATAATGGCCCATGGCTCGGTTTCAATTGTAACCGCATGAGCGCTGCAATCCTATGGACAGAGATTGATAAATTGGCAACCCTGTCTGTCACTGTCAAGTCTGTCACTGTCAGAAGTGTCAAATGAGCGCGATTCGCGATTCCCGTTTCTGTTATTGTTTTTAATTATAAATATAATACATTTATTTATTCAATTTACAGTTTTTACATTAGGAACGACTGAGAATTTACCATATTTCTGTTCTACAACTAATTGGAAGTATCACCTAAGAAGGTATGTAATCATAATTATTATTATTAATAGGTATAAAAAAAGTAGGTTAACATTTTTATATTTTTAAGTTCCATTTTAATAAAATATACTTTTTGTAGCAAAAGTAATAATTTAATTTAAGTAAAATGAAATAATATACAAAATTCCTCTTTTTATTTAGCTTATAGTTAGTTAAAAATTATTTTCTTGAAAAAGAATTACATTATTTTGACTACAGTTACGTTTATGTTCTGATGATGTACATTTTTATGTAACGTTAAAAATGTAAAAAATAATTTCAGTAAAATAATCTGTGTGGATTAGATTTATCGTGGTAGCACACCATCATTTTGTGGAGCTTAAAAATGTAATAATAAAGAATGTGTCTGTTAAACTGCCAAATGGTAATATATTGAAAAGATTTGTTTATTTCCAAGTCAGAAATTGTAGTGAATTTTATTAGTTATTTATTTACAAGCAAGCCCATTACAATTTTAAAAATTAATTCAAATATCACAAATATTTATGATGCTGTAGCACAAAGAACATTTAAAATAACAATATATTAGTTGAAGGTTAAAAAGAAAAAATACACAGTAAAATATTAGCATTAAAGCTCAGTATTAAGTAATTGAGTTTTGAATTATGAAAAGGGAATATTGAACAGCCTGAGACCATTGTTCAAGTTAGCTAATCTAAACATTCTTGGAATACAGCTATTAAAAGCTTGGTTTGATCTATAAAAAGGTACATAAAATGTTTGCAGTTGCCTAGTTGAACAAGAAGTTCAGGACAATTACATCTACTATTTATTATAATAATAGATAGCAAAGTAAAATATCTCTGTTTTTGTCTAGTTTCCAAGGAGGAGATGTTCAAAAATTGTTCCATGAAATCATATTCATAATAAACACCCAAATAAGTCGAGTTAAGATTTTGTGCTTCTTGGTGAATGCCTATCTCCAGTATCTAATATTCCTGATAACTGCAAAGTACTTGAGTCAACACTACCAACACCAATATTGCTGCTGTTAAAGCATCAGAAATGTACCTAAGACATAAGAAATGTACCTATTATCTTACAGTACAGAGATAGAAATACACAAGTAGATGAATACCCAATATGGGTTCCTCAAAAACAGTAGTACACTAAGAGCAACAATTGAATTTGTTGACCATATCACTAAATTCTTAGATCATAAAATGATAGAATTTGTGAATTTTAAAAATGGGTTTTAACGTGGTGAGTTTTGACTTATGTTGGATGTTAAATCCATAATATAAAAAAACTTATTGATAGAAAACATGTACAGATAAACAATGTAAACAGCAGTATAGATTCAAACTCATATGGTGTTCAGCAGGGCTCTACTCTGGATCCTCTGATGTAATCTTTCTATATGGTAAACTTAAAGTGTGTCAATTTAAAGGCACATTTGTAGATGACACTGAAATTGTATATGCAGGTTCTAAAGCAAGTTCTATAACAACAAACTCAAAATAAACATTGACCAGACGAAGTTTATATGAACAGATATAGAGAAAAACAAAATTTTAAATTTAAGCTTTAATCCATCCTTCGGTGAGCAGATTATATTTTGGGCATAGTCAGAACATCTGGGGGGTACTTTATAGGGGGTCGTTTTACTACTTTATGGAATATATCTGTTATTTACGCTTGGAGAAAAAAATTCTTTATATAAAAGTTGCTTATAATATTATTATCTACAATTTTTGTCCTATACAAAATTTTCTTAAAATGGTCCGTATTCGAGAAAATTGACAAAAATTGCGAATTTCGAATTTTTAAGAAAATTTTTTAAGTAAAAGTTGTTTGTAATGTCATTTTCTATAATTTTTGTTTTATACATAATTTCTCTAAAATGGACCTTATTAGAAATATTTGAGAAAAAGGACAAATTTCGAATTTTGAAGAGAACTACTCTAAAACGGATACAGATGTATAATAAATTTAAGCTTTAATCCAGCCTGCAGTTAACAAATTAAATTTTGAGCATAGTGGGAACATCTGGGAGGTACTTTATAGAGGGTCGTTTTTCTATTTTATAGAATATATCTGTTATTTACGCTTGTAGAAAAAAATTATTCAAATAAAAGTTGTTGGCGATATTATTGTCCATAATTTATGTCCTATACATAATTTTCCTAAAATGGTCCGTATTCGAGACATTTAACGAAAAGTGTAAAATTTAAAAAATTTTTCAAATAAAAGTTTGTTCTATACATGAATTGTCTAAAATGGACCATAATGGAAAAACTTGAGGAAAAGTGCTAAATTAGACGCGACACCCACATTATACTTCATGGCGCTTAACGTGTTAAAACTTTTTGCGCAGCGAATCAACTTTAAAAATATTAAATTCGATTTATTTTTTTAAATGAATCAATTACTACTTGAAGCCTTCAAGATATCAATAATGTATTTTTTATTATACCTCTATAGTTATATAACGCAGCATCTTGGGAAATTCCTGTGTAATTTTAAAACTCGCAATTGTAATTTATTTTATTATTCTTTACAAGATGTGGCCATGCACGACCGACGAATATAATTTATGGTAATTCAATTCTAAATACCAGTTTTGATCTAATCAAAATTATTATTCCTAAAATAAATTGTTCAATTTATATTATAAACAAAAATATCAGATCGCCTATTAATTAGAATATTACTACTAGATATATATTATATTTATTTGTGTCTTTTACTATAATAATAACCTTGATATGCAACACATGGTGGACAGGTCAAAAAAAATTCTTAAATTATGAAAAACACCTGCAGGCATACTATTATACTCTTATTATACTCCTCACACAGTAGTCTGTAAAGAGTATTATAAGTTTACTTTCAAGGAACCAAAATAATTCAATAAATCAAAATATTACAGACATACTGACAATTCCATGCATAGTTTTTAAATTGTTATCAAATTATTTAACCATTCTTATGTGTATTAATAATGGTACAATTAAATTATAGTATCTAAACGAAATATTTTTAAAATGAGTTCTGACAGCTCATACGTCTTCATAAGTAATTGGCTATTCTGTTTATCTGCCATAGAATTGATAATTATTAATGCACAATGCATTCATCATTTTCAATATTTAATTTTGGTTGAGCCCCACTTCACGCGTCTTTCACTTAATTGAAAAATAGCCGTATTACATTGTTAGATGTTTATCCTGTCCTAGCTTTTTGTCGCTCTAAAAAATATATATAACAAAGGTGTGATTGATTATTTATTTTAACAATAACTGTTACTATAAATAAATAATATGAGACTAATAATAATAAAACTATTCTCAAATAAGTATAGAGAGTGTTCCGACATCGTTCTTGGGGTGATTTATTACCCAAAAGTAAAATAAATAGTTTCAATTTTACAATTAGTAAAAAAAGAGGGAAATTTAAAAAACAACAGTATCAAAAAGGCAATAAAGATTACACTAGATTTTTTTATGGTTTTATTTTTAGTTTGATATTTAACAGAGTTTAAAAACGAAGACGAAATAAAGTGGTGACTTATTATGGTAATTTTAATATCTAACTAGTTGTGCTAGTAAAAAGTTAGTCTATGTTCAACCTATTTTCATCTTTTACTTGCTTTTTTGGGTATTTTGTACAATTAAAATTTCATTCTATTCGTTAACGTCGGATTGGAAATATTTTAAAAACACCAAAAAACATCTACACCTTATGTGAACAATTTGTCTTATATTTGGGTAAGGAATCACACCAGGAGTGATGGCACATGTTTTTTGGAACACAGTTAAATATTGTTGTATATGTTTGTTTCCATGAAAAATGTAGTTTGTTTTGTAAGAAAAATAAATAAAATATTTTGTCACTGTCCTATTTTTTTATTACCATTAAACATCGATCTGTATTGTAGGTTATAATTAGAAATTGCTAAATATGGCGACTGTGGCAGGATACGGTGTTAATGGTATCGAAAATCTGATGAATTTTTAGTATGCATGATTCAATACATTATAATTAAAAAAAAAATAATAAATCATTACATAGCAAGACCTCCAAATACGTTTTTTAGGTCTTTAAAAATACGCAATTCCGCGGATATACCTTACGTTATCAAAATTACAATAGCAATATTTAGCACGAAAATCCAGGTATAATTTTTAGGATAAATGATTCAGTGCCTTAGTATCATTCAAAAACAAGATAAATCATTACATAGCAAGACCTCCAAATACGTTTTTTTAGGTCTTTAAAAATACGCGATTCCGCGAATATACTTTAGGTTATCAAAATTACAAAAATCAATATTTAGCACGAAAATCCAGGTATAATTTTTAGGACAAATGATTCAGTATCTTAGTATCATTCAAAAACAAGATAAATCATTACATAGCAAGACCTCCAAATACGTTTTTTTAGGTCTTTAAAAAGCGCGGTTCCGCGGCTAAATCTTACTTTATCAAAATGACAAAAACCAATATTTAGCACGAAAATCCAGGCATAATTTTTAGTATGAATGATTCAATACATTATTATAATTTAAAAAAATAATAAATCATTACATAGCAAGACCTCTAAATACGTTTATTGAATCTTTAAAAAGCGCGGTTCCGCGGATAAACTTTACTTTATCAAAATGACAAAAACCAATATTTAGCACGAACATCTAGGTACAATTTTTGGTATGAATGATTTAATACATTATTTTAATTCAAAAGAATAATAAATCATTACATAGCAGGACCTCCAAAAAACGTATTTTGTTTGCTAGCTTCGGCCTCATAATCTTGACTGTATTACCAAATGTATCAATTTGTTAAACAGTAAAAATAATTTATAACAGTATCGTCCATCTCTACACCCGTATGCTTTATTTGGTGTTTTAATACTGTTTTTTTTAGATTTTTTTATTTGCTAAATATACTAGAAATTCTATACCTACATACTTTTATAAAGTATGTAACGAGACTGTCTAATAACAGCGAATTCCATCTCTAAATCTCCATAAATCTATTCAAGGCCTACAATATATCGCCGAGGGAGAGCTGTTCGCTATATCGGCGATTGTTGCTATTAAATTAAACCTTTGTTCATATTCCGGATAGCACGTGGTTCCGTGCCACAAGAAGGCTGGTACCACCGCAGTCCGCCGTTCAACTTTTTAGAACCAGCTTGTTTGATCAAGTACTTCGTTCGAGGTGGGCTGTCGAGGCAGAGCTGTCGGTACCAAGTATTTTTTTTTAGTTTTTTTTTTGTGCGTCATTATAAGTATTTTCATTTTCAGTCGTGATGAATCGTGCTTAGTTTGTGGTTACAGTGAAAGTATCTATTACCTGCCGTAGAAGAATTTCATTTCACCATCCGATAAATAGTTTTTAGTTAGTTGAAGTATTAAAAGGGAATGGCAATGGTTGGCGCAAAGGATAATAAAAGGTAATCAAAAAAACATCGAGTATATATAAATTAAAAACTGATTTTTGTTGGTACAATATTTGCTTTTTATAACCATTAAGGGCCGATTCCACCGTTGTGCTAAACGAAGGTTAAATTACTAATCGAAGATGGAATTGGTCTTAAGTAACAAAAATATACGAAATTGATATTTAGGTAGGTATATCTAATTCTATACATTGGGGGTCTATTCTGTAACAATTCCTTTATATTTTAACGGCCGTTAAAATATTGACGGTCTTTAAAAATATTTTCGTATTCGTTAATTTACCTCTGTCATTATTTAAACAGATTTCTTTAAGATGTATTTTAAAGATTCGTTTAAATAATGACAGAATTGAAGAAAATATTTTTAAAGGCCGTTAAAATATAAAGGAATTGTTACAGAATAGACCCCATTATCAGCAAACTTATTTTTAAATCCACTTTTAGAAATCGAGTTTTTGTTTGATTTTTTCTTTAAAAAAAAATGCGCTGGTGTTTGTATAGTAGGTACCTATCGTCATTTAAACGTTTCTGTAATCCGAAGTGGGTATGGTAGGATATCTAAATAACTCAAAAAATGTTGTAAATATGGTCATAAAATGATGGAATTTTAAAAATAAATGTACCTTTTTTACTTTTTCTTTAAAAATATTGAAAAAATTTCTACCTATGGAAAATACTCAGTGCGTGTAGATAATTTAATATTTTGAATTAAGTGTATGTAATACTTTTCAGAATTAAACTCATTTTCTTTAAAAAATAATAAAAAAAACCGGCACTCGTGCGCTTTTCCTAATGTTACTTCGCGCCCCCTCAGTTTGGGAACTACTACCCTAGAGGAATATGGAAGGGGAAGCATCCCTTAATAATAAGTTGGAACTTTTTAAGTGAATCAGTTGAAATCGTGATTTTTTTACATATTATTTTTTTTTTAATATTTTTGGACATAGCTCGGATGTGAGGGCTTGATAAAATCAATTACGGCGAAATTTGTAGAACGTTGTGTATACGAATGAATAACAATTTCAATTCAGGATACATTTTCATTCTAGTAATCTGAAGCTCTTATAAATACTAATCAGGATACTAATTTACAAATATTGTTTACAGTATTTTTCTCAAATAAACAGCAACAATTACATTTAATAAAAACACGGGAATTTTTTTTTTACAAAGTAAGACTATGAAAAGTGAAACAGCGAGACTTTTCATACAGAAATAATGGTTATAAGTTTCAATATATTCCATACTATTATTTTGACATTATCAGTGTTGTCACGAAACCAGAGAAACTTGAATTTTTATCGAACACCCGGTATGATGCATTAAATAGAACAATTACCTATAATTACTGGATGTCATCGTTATACGTAATATACACTAAAAAGTATGCTAATGTAACATTGAGGCTGTTAAGAACAATTAACATTCCATTATACTGTATAATCATAACCTTGGATAGGCGTAGCTAACAATCGACTAAATGCAAGTAAAAAGTAAACAAATATCGAAGACAATATTTGCAATGTTTGAAATATTTTTCTTATTCAATTAGCGCTATAATAAAATGATCATAAAAGACGTAAGATTTTGACACAATAACATTAACTTATTTCAAAATTTGAGAGCCTTTAAAATGTGCTGTTAAGCGCGCCTAAAATTATAAATTAATAAAAACATTAACAGCCGGTTACAAGAACGTTTATTAAAATTTATAAGAAAAGGAAAAGAAATATTTTAAGTCTCTATCGCATCTAATTTATTAAAAATAATGGGCATTAGAACCACTATCAGACCTAAAATGAAAAAGTGCAAGTTGACGAACTACTGACTACAATGTTAATATTGTTTTGTTGTTAATTAATATATTATTTTATTGTTAACTCTTGTAGTAAATTTGAATTTTTAGCAATAACCACCCCATTTTTATGGTCAACCATTTATATACAGAATTTTTTAATTACAATGCATATTTTTGTTTTATAAACACCCATTAAATACTAAATTATGTTACCTATTATAAGAGTGGATTTAATTGGTTTCTGATCTGTTTAAGGAAGCTTATTCAACACCCATTGTATTTTACTGGTAAATATTATTATTTTGTAATAAATAATTACATATTTGCTATTAGAAGTCACGTCTATCAAGCAATACAATTCATTTGTTTTAAAAATAATCCTATTTGATTTTTTAGCATTATGTTGAACACGAACCAGTATAACAATATATAAAACAAATTCTAAATAATTAAATGTTTAAACTTTTAATAAATGTGGTATTTCCTATTCCTACAGATAAAAAAATATTAATCACCTACTAATCACCAACAAAAACTTCTTTTTTTAAATAGGAGAATTGTCACTAAGCGGATGGTATCACAATACCATAGCTTTATTTGGTATTTAAAAAGAAAAGTTGCATTTTTTTAACATGATAATTCTGCATCAAGGCGACGAAGATATCTACTGGATTTTCGTTGACTAAAAAGTAAGACATTGCTTCATTTATTTCAAATGAATTTTCATGAAAGTAGGTAATTACTTTAAATAAACCAAAACCGTATACTTTTACACATAGCTAATTAGTTGGTTGTAATTATTAATCAAATTAATAGGCTACTAACAGATTTAGAGCCAGTGATGTAAAAAAAAATCATCATGGACAGGAAATTGCAATTTCATGGAATATAATTAACTCGAATTTTTTATCCGATCATGACATCCTGTCTACTAAACTATCGTGTTCAAATAATGACAATTTTTAAACAAAGAACAGTTTTAAATTCCTGTTTAAAAATGTATCGCTTTCATTTCAATATTTGCCAAAAAAAAAAAAAATTGGTAAAAGTGAAATTTAATGGAATAATTATTAACAGAACCAATCATGCAATTGAATGCTATATTCTTAAAACTTATTACGCAAAAAGTAGCAAATAATAAAAAAGGTTAATACATCGAGATAGAATGAAGTAGATACGACATAAACAATATTTTGTGATGTGGGTGATGGACGCACTTCGAGCGATGAAAAGCTAATCAAAATGGCGACACTAATTTTATATTTGAAGATTGACGGAATGAAAATGTCATTATATATATTGAAGTATTAGTCAAAGGAGTAGTTTTTTCCGAAGGACGGTCACTCCTATTTTGTTTTAATAATATTATAACGTTTTAGTTGCATTTGAGTTGGAATTATTTTCCTTTTCTAGTAAATATATTTTAAAAGAAGCAAATTATTGATAATTGGGTTTCTTTTTTTGACAATTTATGTCTCCACTATCTGTTTCTATATTTGTAACGTGTGGAGAGTGGGTAAAAAACGAAATCAAATTGGTAGGTAGATTTAAAATTTACAGGACATAAAATGATTAATTTTAAATCAATTGTTTTACAAATTTGATGACTTTCAATAATTAATAGATAAAAAATATATATTATAAAAAAAATAAAAACAATAACAATAATTAGGACGTTATCAACAGCACTAAAATAAATGTTCAGGTTTATAAAAATACTTAATAAGTTAGTAGTAGAGTAATTAGTTGGTAATTATGTTTTATCTTCAAGCCAGTATTTACCTGTTGTTATTTAACATAATTTCTAAAGTATTTTCACTTTTTAATATTCTTGTAATAGGATTAAAATAGTTCACCAATATGAAGTTATTTTTCTTTAAAAATCAAATGAAATCGTCTCACTTTTACAGTACGACCCTGGTAATAAAGTACACAAAAAGTTAAAGAAAAAATAATTATGATTATAATACTTTTTCTTAGAATAATAGAACAGAAGCAAACCTATAAACCAGTATGGCAATGTAATAATTTATTCTTTAAAAATCAATTCAAAGAACAATTATTATGATTGTGTAGGATGTTCTTGAAAAAAGATTTTTTTATAGGATGTCTCCTTGACTCTTTAATAATTCCTTGACATTATAAATAAGTATGTATGTGATGCATTCGTATGCACCTTTCAATTGATGTTAAGAGGCGTAACAAAAATAGTAATAAAAATCAAACATTTTTTTTTTTTACAAAAAGTGTAGAAATATAATTTTAAAAACCACATTTTAAAAACAAGCTTTTAAATTATAAGGTATCAAAGTTGAACTGAAATAATTTTTTAACCATTTAATATTGTTGCTTCTATTTCATCACTATTTCCAAACTAATTGATCTATAGACTTTAAAATTTGATAAAATATTTATAAAAACTATAGAAATTTATTTTTGAAGACCACATTTTGATATTTCAACAGGTTTTGAAGTTACAAGGTATCAAAGTTGGGCTTAGTATGCATCAATGCATTTTTCATACATATCACTGTTGTATAAAGGTATTTGAAGATTTGAGAACGAGCCTGAATTAACATATCAAATTCCCGGTCTAACGGTAGGGGCATTTAATGTACAGAACAAAGATGCCCGGGTTGGAATCCCAGCGGCGATAGGCTTTTTTTTTTTTTTTCAAATTTGTAAGTGTGTTTTGACGTTTGGGGTTCGGGGATGGTCTTAATAATCCGTAAGGGGATTTTTGAGATTTGTTTCCGAATTTAACTGACTCATATAGGAGGGAACGCATTGCGTTTGACAGGTTTTCGGTGACACCCTGTATATTAAATAACATTCAATAGGGTTTATTTGGTATCAAAGTGAAGCATAAGTTTAAAATCAATACAATTAATAAATTAATTCATACTCTTAAAATGCATTCTTTAAGTTTGGCACAACATATTTTGCATTTAAGTAATATTAATAAATAATAATTATTTAAATAAAATACAGAAATCATCAGCATTTAATTAAGCGTATTTACTCGATTTCAAGGAATTTTTTAATATTATTCTCATGAGTGTGTTTATTAAAAATGTTCTGTTTGACCAGGATGTGTACAAAGAAAAAGTGAAGGTTGAAATAATATGCAATTAAAATCTTAAACATAAATAAAATAACATATTCATTGATTTTTCCGGGAGTGGTTTTTGAGATA